AGCACTGTGATACAATATAATTCATTTGTTCTGCTTGGCTCTTATTGTTTCCTTTTTTGGAATAGTAAGAAATAATTGTTTTGTAGCTTTCACTGCCATTATGATGTTTTGCTATTACTGTTTTTAGGTACATTGTAAATAGAAAATTTTTAAACTGTTCAGTAATTAACTTAGTTTTATGTGAAAGATACATTAATTCATTCACATGGACAGAAATGTTTTATATCTAGCCAACTCTGGCCTGTATATTTGCAAGGACATATTTTTGTGTTCAGTGTGAAAATATTGTTTGTTCAGTTTATATTTAATTGGATGCAAATGGTGTGTCTTCTGGCAAACATTGTACGAGACACGGTTGAGGAAATGTATGAGGAATTCTATCAGACATGAGTGACGTGCGAAGCACTGTCTCAGACGTGAGTGATGTATCAAGACTCTATTAGACACGTGATGTGTAAAAGCACTCTACCAGACATGAGTGGTGTGTAAAGCACTCTGTCATTTACAAGTGAAGTGCCAAGCACTTTATCAGACATGAGTGATGTTTGAAACACTCTGTCAGACATAAGATGTGTGAAACACTATCAGAAACAATTTATGTGAAGCACTTTGTCATGAGTGATGTGTGATGCACTTTGTCACACATGACCAAGTGGTGTATGTTTTATATGTAAGTGACCAGTCTGTGATTTAAGTTGAATATTTAAATAAAAAACTGATAAGTGTGTTGTGTGGGCACTTTAAAAAAAAAAATTTTTTTAAACGTTTGTGTGGCAAGGCAATCACTTTGTTTTAACGAACACTCCTGTAAATAACTAACAAATAGATTGTATACCTGTCAAATAAGTTAACTCATAGTTTTGAAAATATTTAGGCTTAAAAGGTGACTTATACACTGCATCTTAGGGTAAGCCATGCATGAGTGAATAGCTTAATTCCACAAGATTTGATAAAAACTGCAATGCCTGTTAGTTATGAGTTAGATTATCTTCACAGAACTCCGGACACATCCATTGGCACTCAGATTCCCCTCTCAACATATTCATCAGCATCGCGCGGTTAATAATGCCAGTCTTATGTTGGTTAACAAGACTGTGTGCATCCAGTGTGCTTCTTATGCTTAGCTGTGCTGATCTTTACTCCCAATTCTCGCATTCTTAGCAGTGATGTGGACGCGTTGCTTCCAAAATCCTCAGAACGTCCTCTCTCTCTAAGGGCAATGACAATGTCTGCGTGATCCATGGGGCGGCCATCTTCAATTAATGCAGCACCTGCCAGTCTATCAGCTTTTTCATTACCAACAATGCCTGAAATCCCGGGGATGAATATAAAGGTAACTGCACAAACAGGAGAGTTTTGCAATGACTCAAGCCACTGTCTGCGTAACCAGCCTGCCTAGACTCGCCAGATCATACTCAAAGAATCACTCAGCACACACATGCAGAAATAGTCCTGTGATTCTAGCCACATGAAAGCCTGTGTCACCACCATCACCTTCATCATCATCATGATGTTGGCAGTCATGGAGAAGGCTCTATTGGCTTCTGGAACGGTTCTGCCTCAAGAGCGAGCTGTAAATGCCCATGCACTCTTATGACATCAGCACCTGAACATCAAGTGTGGCTGGCTCACAGACAGCATTGTTTCTTGGAAACTAAAACATTTTGGCCATATTAACCCTTTCACCCCAAGAAAATCTTTTTAAAATGACATTTTTTGTCATGTTTACAGCATCCCAGCTGCGGACCATGTGCCTTGCGTTGGTTTCGACAGTGGTATCAAGAAAGCCGACTGTCCAGAAAGCAATGGCAAACTACTGGACATAAATTTGCCTAGAAAAACCACACAACAGCCAGGGGCTGTTGGGGTTGGTTCTGCAACGTCCTGTAAAGGATATGCAACTAACCTGTTTACAGCATAGATGCTATATTTGCACCTTTTTGGTGACACATCCGACATCTTCCAGCATTTGTTATCTGGGTTAGCCTTCCCAGTTAGTTTCATGGGACATCTGTGGCCTCATATGTATGGTAAATGAGAGGTTTGAATCCACATATCAGAAACATCACTGACAATCAGTCCAGTAAAAAGAAAACAGTGAAAAACACAAGTAGATTTATGTACATAAACTTTATAACATGCCACAAAACAAGAAAACAAACATATTTAGAACCATAAAAATCTGCTCAGTGTGTCAGGCAGCCATAGAGGCAAGCACAGGCAGATCAACTCAACAATGAAGTACCATGAAAATCTGGCTGGTGGAGCAAGTATAAATTTCATCGTGACTTGAACATGTTCATCGCTGGTGACCGGGTCACCCACTAGCTCGCCTGTGGACGGCTTTGGCTCTCTTGATCGCACCAAAACTGCAAGAGTCCCTTTCAGGTTTTAGGGCTACTTGGTAGGTAGTGAGCAATGTTAAGCCATTTTTTTATAGTGCACATAAACCAAGTCACAATAATAACCTAAAGCTCCCCCAATCAGGAGATGCTGGTTGAATGTGACAATATTTTTTGGGCAAAGCAAGGCAAGTCAAGAACATGTTCTTTCTAGCACAGAATCGCAGGTTATATCTGTTTGGTGTAGCCATTAAGGCTGCTCAAATTATAACTTTGTTGGAGGTTGAAGAGGATATTGAGGAGCTGCCCTGTGGGTCTGCCATCTAGAATGAGATTTTTTAAATTGCGGGATGGTAAAAGTAAACCTTTAGGTAGCATCCAGGAGGAGATAAACCGATCAATTGACAGAGAACACTTCCAATGTGTTGATACCTCAGACTAGTGTTTAATGTCACATCACACATTACCTCAAACAAGTGTTCAACCTCACAACAAATAGCAGACATTACCTCAGACAAGTGTTCAACCTCACATCAAATAGCAGACATTACCCCAGACAAGTGTTCAACCTCACATCAAATAGCAGACATTACCTCAGACAAGTGTTCAACCTCACATCAAATAGCAGACATTACCTCAGACAAGTGTTCAACCTCACATCAAATAGCAGACATTACCCCAGACAAGTGTTCAACCTCACATCAAATAGCAGACATTACCTCAGACAAGTGTTCAACCTCACATCAAATAGCAGACATTACCTCAGACAAGTGTTCAACCTCACATCAAATAACAGGCTTTACCCCAGACAAGTTCAACCTCACATGAAATAGCAGACATTACCTCAGACAAGTGTTCAACCTCACATCAAATAACAGGCTTTACCCCAGATAAGTGTTAAACCTCACAGCAAACAGCAGACATTACATCTGACAAGTGTTTAACCACACATCAAACAGCAAATATTACCTCAGACAGGTATTCAACCCCACATCAAACAACAGACATTACCCCAAACAACTTCAACTTCACACCAAACAGCAGAAATTACTCTTCTAACAAAAGGGTAACCACATATCATTCAGGGATCAAAAGACAAACTCGAACTTTATTACATGAGGTGTTTAGTTCATCTCCAACTGTGCTCTCAGCTTGTTAGAACTGCACCTAACATCTCTAGAAAGTCCCCGACATCAGCAGAAAAAGTCACCAACACAACGATAATGACAGAAACATGTTTGCCGCCAAGCAATGTATGGAATAAACTGACCACACTTGAATCCTGTAAAACTTTTACCTTGCAAAAAAAATTTTTTCTTCCCTTTTTAAATGGGTAAATTTTAAGTTTCCTGGCCCCAGATGAGAGTGACTTCCCTCGGCATTTATAAATCGCTGTGTCAACTGGCTCGTCCTATGTTGCCGCATTTAGTGACCGGCTACCGGCACGTTGCATTTTACTAGTTGTTGTCACTGTCCGGTTATACTGAGTGTTGTATCCAGGATGTGAGATCTTTTAACGGCTGCAAAACTGGCCCTAATTTCCCCCCCCCCCCCAACCTGTGTTATAGGCTGTATGCAGTCGTAGGACCTAGGCTGCATTCCATTTCACTGGCTGGTGACAAAGCGCGACACCCCAACAACATATGACAAGCCCTGTTACACAGCAATTTATGAACGCCAAGGGAAGTCACTCTCTTCATGGGCTGGGAAATGTAAAATAGACCCAAAAATGACACCTTTTTTAAATAGAAACTCTACCTTAAGAAAATAAGCAGAACAAATTTGGAGTCATGGTCAGTTTTATATTTGAATAAAAAAAAATTTTTTGAACAAAACCAGTACCAAAGTTGTTATATAGGCGTACTGGCCAGTGCCGCCCCCCCCCCCCCCATCATCTTTAAACAAAACACTAACAGAAAACTGGCTTTTTCAGATCGACAAGGTGGTTAAGGGATGTAGCGGTGCTGAGCCACACATAGTGGTGCAGACTTATCTATACCTCTCAATGGCTATCTTAGGGACAGGTTTCCTACCTGGTGCTGGCCAATGTAGATAGGATTGATGTTTCCTTCAAAATCAGAGTGTATCTGCCTGAGAGGCGAGAAACCAACAGTCTGCAGTCAAATAGGCTAGATCTGTAAAAATCGATGTGCATGCTTCTTCTTCTTTGTGTTCACCAAATGTAAACTCCGACAGAAAGTTCTGGTTGTTCATCTACCTTTGGACTTTTAGACTTGTTCCAGAACCCGAGTGTTGCGTGACACATACGTTTTACAGTCTGACTTATTATTAAGCAGGCTGTGGTTTCTTGCCTTTCAGGCTGATCAAGTCCTAGAGCCTATATAACTGGCGTCCCGCGGGCCTAATACGGCCTGAAGAGGCCTTGTTAGTGGCACACTTATCACCTGCCATTTCTATTGTAAAAATGGTCTTTCTACGCTAGGGTTCCAGCCACTGGCCTTTGACAATCTCCATTTACCAACATTCTGGCTCCTGATTAAACTTAGTTGAATGGACCTGTCCTTGAGTAAAACCAAAGTCCACAAGTGAACGAACATCCAGGACCTGATGAATGTGAAGAAGAAGATCCATTAACACTGAGAGGTCCAGTTGGAGCTTGACCATCCCAACTAGCCAGAACCCAGCCAAGTATTGGGGTCAGTCGTACATGTTCTCATACAACTGCTGTCCTATCCTGATGTACTCCTCCTTCTCTAGAGGGGTCATCTTGGCCACCAGGTCGGAGGTAATGCTGTTGTAGGGTACTCTAGTAGAGCCAATGCTGACCATCGTGCCTACATCCTCAAACTCATCACTGTCCATGTCCTCCTCCTCATCTGTGGACAATAGAATGTGTTAGTACAGTCTGTATCACACATCACAATAAAGTCTATACATCTTCAACTGTCTTATCTCTCACATGAGTTAGCATCTATAGTTTAATTTTGCGAGCTTCTACAGTCTGTCTGCCACACATCAGCGTGTAGTCTATCCCTCACATTAACAAGTGTCAACATTTTAGTGTTATTTCTGTCTGTCTGTTACAATCAGTAACTGCCGCTTCTGGCCAATCAATCCGCTATTTCATTGCCTTCCAAGCCACAGTGACCTGGAATCCACTGCAGTACAGATTGTTCTACTGAAAAGCCTAAGTGAATCACTGTTGCATCAAGTCTAAAAACTGGGTGTCGCTTGGGTTAACAATTGCTTGTAGAACTGACACAGCATCAGTCAGAACGACCACTCAGCTATATTTGCTGCGCTGTTGTCCATTCAGGAAAGAACATGCCGCCAGAAGTGCTTCTACCTCTGCTCTGTAACTGAATTTAGTTTGACTCTCACATTAAGAGTCTATAGTTTTGTCTGTCTGCCCATCACATATCAGCAAGTTTAGTCTGCCTCTAATACTATCAAATGTCTATATTTTAGTTTTGCCTGAATGTCCATCACATATCAGTAAGTTTAGTCTGCCTCTAATACTATAAAATGTCTATATTTTAGTTTTGCCTGTATGCCCATCACTTATCAGCAAGTTTAGTCTGTCTCGAAAACTGACAAGTGTCTACACTTTAGCTGTGTCTGTCAGCCAATGAAACATTAACAGATTTAGTCTGTTTCTCACATTATCAATTCTCTGAACCTTAGTGTAGTCACAAGGGAATGTTAACATGAAGTCTATCAGAGGAGAAGTGTTGGACCTCATATCACAATGTCTTCTGTGTTGGCCCTTGAAAGGAGCGGTTGGCACACTGCATAGTGTTTTACAGTCAGGCTGCCCTAACTGCAGCTTTTGTCCCCGCCCTTCTGATTTAAACAAACTCCCAATTGGTCATCTTTTACAAGCTGCCTGTATAACAGACAGTATGTCTATCTTCCCCCCCCCCTTCCCCCAAATAGGGCCATGGAATCTACAGAGTGAATGGGAATATCACTAATCAAATTCCACACAATGTCTAGCATCTATCACTGATGATGACCCATGACCCCACACAGCGTTTATCCTCCAGTGAAAATCTGACTATACAAATGTTCCATACCTTCTCCATTCTTCAAATCCTCAGACTCTGATTCCCCTTCGCTAGATTCTGGGGCGGCGACTCTAGACGGACCTGCCTTTGGTTCATGAACTAATAAAGTCTGCAGTATGTCGTCTGTGCCGCCACCTCGGCCACGTTTGTCCAAATCTGAAACTTTCATCTGCAAAATAACAGTATTCAGAGTTAGCTTTAGACATGAAAAAATTTACACTCATTGTTGTAGTTCTCAAATTTGAGACATGTATGCTACTGCTCGTGTTAAAAACATGGGGCATAGAACACATTAACAATTGCGTTAAAAACACAGACCACATTACCGACTGTGTTGAAAAATTAGGTAATGTGCATTACTGTTTGTATTAAAGAATGGGACATGTATGTTACTGTTTATGTCAGTGATTCCCAAACTGTGCATCGCGGCGCCCCCCGGGAGCCACGACCTCATCACACGGACGCCGCAAAATATTCGAAGATACACGAGTTTTATTTCTTTTGTATCTCTTACAAACGAACAGTCATACTTTTACTAAGGTTAGGGTGTTGTTGAAAATTTTTTTTATGGAAAAAAAGGCGCTATGACTAAGTAAAAGTTTGGGAAACTGATTTATGTCAAATACTGGACATGTACACGACTGTTTACCTCAAACAGTGGGCATGTACATTACTGTTTACCTCACACAAGGGGCATGTACATTACTGTTTACCTCAAACAGGTGGCATGTACATTACTGTTTACCTCAAACATGGGGCATGTAGATTACTGTTTACCTCAAACATGGGGCATGTACATTACTGTTTACCTCAAACATGGGACATGTACATTACTGTTTACCTCAAACATGGGGCATGTACATTACTGTTTACCTCAAACATGGGGCATGTACATTACTGCTTACCTCAAACATGGGGCATGTACATTACTGTTTACCTCAGACATGGGGCATGTACATTACTGTTTACCTCAAACAGGGGGCATGTAAATTACTGTTTACCTCAAACATGGGACATGTACATTACTGTTTACCTCAAACATGGAGGCATGTGCATTACTGCTTACCTCAAACAGGGGGCATGTACATTACTGTTTACCTCAAACATGGGACATGTACACGGCTGCTTACCTAAAACAGGGGGCATGTACATTACTGTTTACCTCAAACATGGGGGCATGTACATTACTGTTTACCTCAAACAGGGGCATGTACATTACTGTTTACCTCAAACAGGGGGCATGTACATTACCTCAAACATGGGGCATGTACATTACTGTTTACCTCAAACATGGGGCCTGTACATTACTATTTACCTCAAACATGGAGCATGTACATTACTGTTTACCTCAAACATGGGACATGTACATTACTGTTTACCTCAAACATGGAGCATGTACATTACTGTTTACCTCAAACATGGGGCATGTACATTACTGTTTACCTCAAACAGGGGGCATGTACATTACTGTTTGCCTCAAACATGGGGCATGTACATTACTGTTTACCCAAAACATGGGGGCATGAACATTACTGTTTACCTCAAACATGGGGCATGTACATTACTGTTTACCTCAAACATGGGGCATGTACATTACTGTTTACCTAAAACAGGGGGCATGTACATTACTGTTTACCCAAAACATGGGGGCATGAACATTACTGTTTACCTCAAACATGGGGCATGTACATTACTGTTTACCTCAAACATGGGGCATGTACATTACTGTTTACCTAAAACAGGGGGCATGTACATTACTGTTTACCTCAAACATGGGACATGTACATTACTGTTTACCTCAAACAGGGGGCATGTACATTACTGTTTGCCTCAAACATGGGACATGTACATTACTGTTTACCTCAAACATGGGACATGTACATTACTGTTTACCTCAAACAGGGGGCATGTACATTACTGTTTGCCTCAAACATGGGACATGTACGTTACTGTTTACCTCAAACATGGGGCATGTACATTACTGTTTACCTCAAACATGGGACATGTACATTACTGTTTACCTCAAACATGGGGCATGTACATTACTGTTTACCTCACACATGGGACATGTATGTTACTGTTTACCTCACACATGGGACATGTACGTTACTGTTTACCTCAAACATGGGACATGTATGTTACTGTTTACCTCACACATGGGACATGTACGTTACTGTTTACCTCACACATGGGACATGTATGTTACTGTTTACCTCACACATGGGACATGTACGTTACTGTTTACCTCACACATGGGACATGTATGTTACTGTGCCCTGTCAAACAATGTTAACAGAGATGTTCGACCATGTCCTGATGCTGAACTGGCCAGCATCTTCTCATTATTTTTCTTACTCACCTACTCACACACATGCACATACAGTTACCAAACATTACGACCTGCTCACCTCATGATTATTCACTCCGCCAACAGCGCTGCCATCTATCGTACTCTGTGTCATCCAGACAGGTTGAGCTCGCTTCTCTACCTTGCCACCATTCTCATCTCCAACGGTGATCGTTACCCGGTTCTCTGAGTAGCCAAAGCCGACATTACGGGTAGAATCACCGCTCCAGACAGTTCTGTCACCATCTTGATGTCTTTGAGCAGCCCCAGAGTTTGGTCTGCAGAAAAAAATAATAATGGTAAATTAAGGTCTACTGGGAGTTGTTCCATTTTGTAGACATCCTCGCAAATAAAATGATGGGTAAGTACAGACAGACATACCTCACAAATAAATCTTATGGGGTATATACAGGCAGACATACATCCCAAACAAAACAATGAGGTACATACAGAAAGACATACCTGACAACAACAAAACAATGGGTACATACAGATAAACCTCACAAATCAAACAATAGGGTACACAGACAGATGAACCTCAAAAATAAAACATCAGGGTACATACAGACAGACAGCTCACAAATAAAATAATGGAGTACAAAAAGTCAGACATACTTCACAAATGAAACAATGGGGTACAAACAGCAGACATACCTCATAAATAAAATAATGGGGTAGATACAGATATACTTCACAATTACTGAAAAATGGGGTACAAAGAAATAAATATACCTAACAAATAAGACAGTGAATGTATGAGGGAAAGGCAATAAGTAAGTTTTTTTTTTTTTTAAACTATTGATGATAAGAACTTTAAAACCATTTATTTGTACACATACATTGTCCCTTCATTTTTCAACATAATTACCACCAACAATGATGCACCTGTCCAATCATTTTTTCAGTCCTCTTAAAACTGCTGCATAGAACTGTGTGCTCTGCTTTCTAAACAACATTTTCACTTCACATTCAACTTCTGCATCATTCGCAAAATGTCTTCCACTAAGATGGGTTTTCAGTGGACCAAAAAGGGAAAAACATTTGTCAGCAAAAACAGGAAGCATTTCCTCATGAATGCCCTTCAGGTAGCCTTTTTTGCAACAACAAAAAACACATACAACAGCACGTTGTTCTTGTGAGGGTACACGCCGTAAGTACAGTCACTATTTTTTTTCTGTGTTGTGAATGCACATGCAACACCTAGTACCACCTAACAAACGGGAACAAAAGTTCCATGTTGCTGTCACCTAATGACACCTTCAGAAACCATCAACTACATTTTCCTGCCATCCCATAACCATTTGTGACATACTTATTGACATATCCTCGTAACAAAGGATAACACAGAGAGAGACATACCTAACAAGATTTTTGATGTCTGTGGGTTCAGGGTCCAAGATTTCAGGTGCAAGTTTCATGTCTTCACATTCCTTCAACAGGGCATAGATGATCTCAATCTGTTCATTAAACATGGCCAGCATGGTTCTGACATTTTGTTTCGGGGTCGAGAGTTCATCTTCTTCCACCTATATTCATTAAGAACATGTTTGTAATTGTAACATTCAAACATGCACCCTACAAACACCCATGCAACAAACATTGGCACATTGGGACACTTCTTGTGTCATCCTTCAATGTGAGACTCGCATGTTGTGCTGCAGTATTTGTGTCTTTTGGCCCAACACATTTAATTTTAACAAACCCAGCCTTTTACAATATGCTTTCTGAGAGGCAATGTGGGTCTATTTTTTGTAGTTGCTTGTTCATAATCCATAAAGAGGTACACAGAGACACCACTAACATCCACCCACAGGTGTCAATGTAGTACCAGTATCCATACAGAGATTCTGCTGTCCCTTCGAATATTCTCTGTACAGTTAATATAAGAGGTCTTTCATTTCAGTATCTGTTGATGCTGAACAATTTCAATGTCTTGGGTAATGACAAACAAATGTGTTATGTACAAAGCACACACACCCAAATATCTGGCTATATTCTGCCAATATGCACACACAAAAGAGAGCTCCTTAATAGTGTACCATATTCTAAAACCATCCCAGTGTGTGTTTGAGGGTCCCATTCTGGAAGGGGAAAAAAAGAACAGACCCACTGTCCCCGATAAGTATGTCGTTGAGTTGACTAATTCAAGGTATATCCTTTGTGTTGGAGTGCATCTGCATGAGAGGCAAGGAATCAACAGTCTGCATACAAATAAGTCAGGTCTGTAATTTGGATGTGCGTGCAAAACTCAAGCACTGGAACAAGGCCAGAAGGGGATGAACAACCAGAACTTTTTCCAGGGTTTACAGCAGGTGAACATGAAGAAGAAGAATGTGCATATAAGAAAGTATTTAGTTCTACTCTGAGAATATGTATTGGTGAGAAAATATCTCTTTCTACTTTTCTTCTTCTTCTTCTCCTGAAAATGGTGGCTGGCATGTTGCCTTGTGACATACAGTAGGCTGCAATATCTGCCACCCGATTTCCACAAATCCTTAATTACTCACCATTTATGACATGCTTGTTAAGGAGCAGGTGATCTGTTCTTTTTTCTTTCCCTAAAAATGGGGTCCCAGAGCCCATACTGGCAACTCTATTCTGACATGTATAAATAAAAGAATATTCTAACAGTATGTACGCAATGAGAGAATATCTTACCGTATTCTGACAATACGTACAAATAAGCTGTCGGCTGCCAATGTCAAACAGCTGCCCAACTTCCAGATCTGTGTACGTTTTCTCACAACCAGAACACTTGAAGGTGGACCGACTAGTGCTGTCCCGCTCATCAGTTTCAATCTTGCGCCGCATGTGGTCTAATTTGTACTTCACCACGTTCACAAACACACTGTCAACACCAAAATAAACAAATCATACCACCACAGAAAACACCAAGAGGAAAAAAACATGACCCTAACACAGGAAACCAACAATTGGGAACTGATGCTAACAATTCATCAATGGTGCGTTAACAGGAAGTAACCATCTTGTGCAACCCTTACACCCTGGTGACACCCCCCCCCCCCCACCCTGTTCTTTTGAAAAAATTGTTTTACATTTTTTTTAAAGTATACACATACAAACAAAATACCATACCAATGGGAAGTAATCAACAGAAATGAACGGCAGCAGAGATTAACTGGCTTGCATCTGTCTAAGCCTTGAAAAACATTTATAGCGTGATAATTACTTGATCATGTGACCCGGTTGCCCTGTGACTAGTTGGGAAAATATAATGGCAGAATTTAAATATTCTTCTTCGAGTTCACCAGATGTAAACTCTGGAGGAAAGCTCTGGTTGTTCATCCACTTCTGGATAGCAGTCCTGATCCAGAACCTGAGTGTTGCGTGTGCATCGTTTTACAGATCCGACTCATCTGTATGCAGACTACTGGTTCCTTGCCTCTCAGGCAGATGCATTCCGACTTTGAAGGAAGATCCCAAATAGTCGACTCTTACGACATGCTTTTCGGGAGGCAGTGGGTCTATTCTTGTTTTTCCCCTCTGGAATAGGGCCCCAGAACCCACACAGGGAAGAATTTATATTAATAAAGCCTTTTTCTTTCTGAAACAAATCTCTTTAAATGCTATTTTTTGCAATTGTAACTTTTCTCTGTCCTGCTAAATATTTACACAGACGCACACGGAATCAATTATGTTAGCTATGATGCTTGTAAACAAGCCATTATAGCCAGTAGGCAATGCAGCTCTTACAGGGAAATGGCATCATCCAGAGGTGCTGGGTTTAGGAAGTTAAAGTCATTGATGATTTCTCTAAGACACATCTAAAAGAGTTTCTCTGAGATACCCATTCTAACAATTTTCTCTGAAGGAGATACTATATGGAAAATGTGACCTGTGTGAGATACCATATGAAAAATTTGATCTGCTTGAGATATCATTTAAAAAAATTTTTATCTGCATAAGATTTCTATCATATGAAAGATTTGATCTGCCTGAGACATCTTTTCTTCTTCTTCTATCCTTCTGTCAGAAAACATATAAGGAGGCCTGTAGCCTTTATGAAAGCTGTTGTGCAGTCGATATCTTCTGGTGTACCATACAACGTTGTCTTCATTGTGGTTGGAACAGGCCAGATTGTGTCTCTGTTGTCAGCATACAGTTGAGTGTGGGAGCACATGCTCAGCATTTTCAGGTGCCATACTGCAGGGACACGTCTCTGTGTTCCCTACACAAAAAATATGAACATATGTTGATTAATCAGTTGTGCCCTGTCCTTAGTCTGAATATAACACACTGTCCCTCTCTAGAGAAGCGATGAAGTGAGTCTTGGAGAGCAAATCTGGTGTGGGTATCCAGCCACCTTTCTTGGATACTAGATTGTTTTAATGTTTTTGTCTCTTGGTGGATTAAGTCACTATTTGGTTGTACCATGTCACTGCCGCTTCTGGCCAATCTGTCCACTATTTCATTGCCTTCCAAGCCATTTGTGATTCTGTCTTTTTTTTTATATATATCACGCTCGCCTGGGGATTGGAAGGTAGTGAGTTAAGGTCCCAACGGTGCCTGCTTTTTTTTCAAATTTGACCTTCGCTCCCAGGTTGACCCAGGTTTGAGTGGGTACAAGGTGTATTCCTGGGAAGTAAAGTCGACTGGCGTAATGCTGACCACATCAACCACCTAGTGTCGATTGATCTATAAAATATAGGTCTAGCCCTATATGCACAATGCGCATGAAGGCATGGAAAAAGATCCTTTACCTACTTTCATTTCTTGCACATTTAATGTCACATAGGATTTTGCATTTATGTTTTTCAAGAACAGTCCATGGCTGGCATTGCAATCATAAGGCATCAACAGCGCATTTATCAGTGGTATTTTGTTGTTGTTTGGTTTCTGTGTGTGTGTTCATTTTGATGCCTCAAAAATTTCACTATTTGGTATTATGTTGTTTGCTTTCTGTACTGTTTTTAATTTCTCCGTCCAATCTTTCTTCATCACCATCATTGTATTCTATGTTAATAAAATAGACGGCCATGGTTCACTATCTCACACGATTCCCAGAGATTTAATTTAGGTCTTCCCAGTGTGGGTTCTGGGGCCTATATTTGGGATGGGGAGGGGGGGGGGGTGGAGAAGAACAAACCCACTGTCCCCCACAAAAATCATGTCGTAAAAGGTTACTAATTAAGGGTCTCGGAGGTGCATGTGAATGAGAGGTGAGGAACTAAGTTTGCATACAAATGTGCCAGATCTGTAAAAGAGAATGTGTATGTGAAACTCAAGTTCAAGAATAAGACCAAATTTCAAATGTGGATGAACAACCAGAACTTCCTGCCAGAGTTTACAGCTGCGAACAGCAATAAAAAAAAAATTTTTAATTACTGTACTGAAGTATTCAAGCACGCACCCATAGTTGATGAAGTAAAATGTGTGCCTGGTGGTCCTGCCTTCTTCATCCGTTTCTACCCTCATGCGGCTTTTGAGAAATTTATCCATTTTAAGTGCATTAAGCACAGATCTGAAAAATAACAAAAGTATTAACACATTATGTTAAGGATGAATGAAACACAACAGAGGACAATACATATTTTAAGTACGAATGAATAAGAACTGTAGTGAAATCAAGAAACTTCAGAAAATGCAGATTCAGGATTTCATCTTTGTTTATCCAGGTGATGTAACTGTGTTGTGTTGTCTACTTACAAAATAGCTGTTATGTTTGCGCCTTCTGGCTGACATATAAAATATTTGTTGTATGGGTTAACCACCCTGGTTAGTTTCATGGAGCACTGTACAGCCTTATTGCTGTGTTGTCATCTGGTGCCCCCTTATGGACTTATCCCAGGTAAACAAGTGCATCCTGGTAGGCCCTCAAGGAAAGGTCAGAGCCTAATATTGGCATTCCCCACCATCCTCATGACTGAACCAAAATTAGCCATTTAGTAGGGGTCATGGTCACTGGACTTGAGAACTCAATTCATTTTATATCTTTTATCAGATGTTTCAACCGTAAATTGGGAGGAAAGGAGGGGGGGGGGGGTGGAATTGCTGAAGAGTAAGTACCATAGGTTTTCTACTTGTGGACACAGAATCTCAGGGTGCCATCAACTCTGAGATTCCCTGCCAGCTCTGTTTAAGCAATGCTAACCATTAACTGTGGTAAAGGATGCTGATATGCAGAAGATAGGAGTCTTGCATGAGGTTCAGTAAAACCAGCAAAGAGCCTGTCGGCAACAAGTTTTCACCAGGAGGCAACAAGTTTTCACCAGGAGGCAACAAGTTTTGCCCTTTAAAAATACAATCCTCAATGCATGTGAATGTGGTTTCTCCAGCACTCAATAAATAAAACACTAAGCAAATACTGCAGAGTGGTTATACACACCTAAGATGTTTGCGTTCCAATTTTAATAATTCTGCAAGATCATCTTCTTTAATGCAGGGATGTCGGACAAGCATGTCAATGACCACAGCATGTTCCACGGAATAAAATCCTCTAACAATCAGGCGCACAAGCCTCTTCAGCTGCTCAGGGACAACAGTCAATGGAATATCCGAAGCCATTCTCTAAAAACGAAACTGCTGATGTGTTGTGTACACAATAAGATGAAGGATAGGATGATGTAGTTCAAGTAGTTGTGTCAATGGTTAATTCACATTTGCATTTGACATCTGCTATGGTGTAAAGAAAACCATCAAAATACAAAATGCGTCTCTTGTTTGACTTTTGGGACTTCTTAGTTTATAATAGTTATAAATAGAGGTGTTAACTTCTGCCAGTCTCTTGTTTGACTTTTAGGACTTCTTAGTTTATAATAGTTATAGGAGAGGTGTCAACTTCTGCGTCTTTCGTTTCGTTTAGTAGTTTAGTCCGTTTAGTTCTCTACTTCGCGACAAACATTTAATTTTATTTGCACTTACTTCTTGAATTGGAATTGCTATAGTTTCAGAATTGAATTAAAAGCCATTGTTTGTTTAATTTTTTTAATGTTAACTATTTGAAAGTGTAATTGATCAATACCTGGCTGATCTATCTTCTCTTATACACATGAAGAAATGTCACTACTAAAAAACTAAAACTAAGTAAAAGTTTTTAGAAGTAGTTCCGTTCGTTCGTTTCTCTTCTACCTAACAAACTTTAACCACGTCCAAAGCGTCTGTCTGTGATTTCGCAATAATCTATCTGTTTGCACTGAAAATAATTATCTAAAATATATTTATCTGATCAAACTAGATACAATAACTACGGAGAAATTGCTAGCCGGACAAGAAAACATCAGCTTTGAGTTCGCTTGTAAAATCCAGCCATGGTATGTTGATTGTCTAAAGTGCGCCATCTTACCGGATGTAACCTCTGGTGACTCCGTGATGTTGTTTTGTGTGTTGGGATCCTATCTATCTATCTATCTATCTATCTATCTATCTATCTATCTATCTATCTATCTATCTATCTATCTATCTATCTATCTATCTATCTATCTATCTATCTATCTATCTATCTATCTATCTATCTATCTATCTATCTATCTATCTATCTGTCTATCTGTCTGTCTGTCTGTCTGTCTGTCTGTCTGTCTGTCTGTCTGTCTATCTATCTATCTATCTATCTATCTGTTTATCTAAATGTCTGTCTATATATATATATATATATATATATATATATATATATATATATATATATATATATATATATATATATGACTGACTGACTTTCTACCCCACCAGGACATCACACAAGCGATAAACACCCGATGACATAACGTGCCACCATTTGGATGAGGATCACCGTGGAGAGGTCCCAGAAACCGCGTTCAGACATTTGGCCATTTTTATTGCCTGCCTATATTGCGGCCCCTGGCAAAAGCCAGAGTGGGGCTTCAAATAACAAAAAATTACATCCTGAAAAGGACGTAAGTAAAGCATATATATATATATATATATATATATATATATATATATATATATATATATATATATATATAAGCCCGGCTTGCCAGTGATTAGAAAGGATTATCATCACAGCACTCCGGACAGATCCATGTGCTCCGATCTCCTCCTCAAAAGCTCCACAAGTGTAAAACCACTGATGACGCCTGTTCAGTGTCGGTTAATGAAACGTCTTGTCCCCTTAGCGAAATGTTCATTTCTTGCAGCTCCAGGCTGCACGCCTATGCCCATCAATCTAGACAGGGATATGGAGTCGTGCTCCTCGGTATGGTGAGTGCAGCGCATGGCATTGAAAGCATCATTTCTGTCCAGTACTGGGCCAGCCATAGCAACTGCAGTGTCAGCAAGATAGTCTGCCCGCTCATATCCTTGAACACCCGCATAACCTGGAACAAAGATGAAGGTTAGGTTAGATATTCGTGAAGTGCTTAGTGTTTCAACCCATTCTTGCCTGATAAATCCAGCTTGGATTTTTTTAAGCATATTCATCGAGTCACTAAGAACACAAACTTTTGTGAACTTTTGAGTACCAAGCCATGCTAAAGCAGTAAAGCCCTTGTTACAGCCATAGTTTCCATTGTGAGGCTACTAGTCGTATCAGCAAAGGTGCCATTCATCTCCTTGATGGTTTTCCCCTTTGAGCTTACTGTGAAGGCCCATGCACTTCGCTTGCTCCTAATCACTGGCCCATCTGTGTAAACTATAGCATCACCTTCATCTGTATGGCTTGCCAGTTGGTTAGGACCCTCTGCGCGGCGACTGGGTGACGAGCTCCGTGTGGTCCGGGTTCACGCCCTGTGGTAGGTAGAAAAGCAAAGCCGCATTTCTACGGTATCTATCATGGAATCAACGCCGAAGGTTGCGATATCCATAGTACCGAGCCAAAGAGCTTACAGCTCATGGTTTCTGGATACTTAAAAAAAAATCTATCTATCGATCTTTGGGTTGAGTTTTGAGAACCGACAGCATAGCACTCGGGACATTTCCATAAGCGCTCTGTCCCCATCTTCAGCAGCCGATGACGAGTTCCGTGATGTTACCCATAACAGTCTGACTGTAAATCTATTTTGCCTTTTCTCTTGGTGTGGAATGTCGACCAGAACCCCTAGTCACTTCTCGTTGCACCATTCTTTAAAGACAGTTATAATCCAAGTGTGACACTACACACTGTTCATTCCCTCCCAAAAAACATTGAAACATTTAAGACCAAGTGGCGCAGAGCCAGCAAATATGTCCGCATGTTCGTTTCCTATCATACTTTTATGCCCTGGAGAAAATATCCAAGTACCCCGGACTTCTGAAGCGAGGCATGCCACACTACGCGAAGCATACTGGTTTCCACCTTTCTCTGTATGCTTTACAATCATATGTGTGTTCAGCGGATTCTCAAGCCAGTGGCCGCCTTTATCTCTATTCTCATGCTTCGTTCTCCAAGGGTCATCTATTCGTTTTTGCCATGAACCTCGTATAGATAGATAATCACATCACCAAAATATATAATTGTCATGAATCAGTTGTTGAATTTCTGATTACGCAGCACCTGCTGGCCAGTTCCCGCACTGCCGACTCAATGTGATTACCCAGCCACTCTGAACCACTATTTTCAAGCTTGCCGCAGGTCTACCTGTGTCTTCTGCTTGTAGATCAAAGACCTTCCTCTTTTTAGTCTTGTGTCCCTTAGGTATACCTAGAGCTTTGTGTAAGAGGTCTTTCTTGTCTGCTACTACTCTGAGGTAGGACCTCGCTTGCAGCACCTTTAGCCTATCAGTAACAGTCGGCAGCGCAAGTATATATCGTATACATACTACTGGTGTATCTCTTGTAGATTCCAGAATCACTCACCTGGCTTCATTCTGTATGCGTTCAAGTTTCATAAATGACTATTTGATATGGTGAGCATTCCAATCCCATAATCTATCGCTGAGAGGATCAAGTGCTGGAATATTGTGAGCAACATTCTTTGTTCAATGTTTATTGCTGCCATAATCGTCAGTGCATCAATTCAACAGCCTCCACGTGGTAATTGAAGGGCACTTCTATCGAAAGTGATACCCAGCTACTAAAGTTTCCTGTCACTTTTGATGTTTGTTATTGATCCCGATGTTTTGAACATCAGATCTGACAATTTTATTTTACAGAATATCTATCTATCTATCTATCTATCTATCTATCTATCTATCTATCTATCTATCTATCTATCTATCTATCTATCTATCTATCTATCTATCTATCTATCTATCTATCTATCTATCTATCTATCTATCTATCTATCTATCTATCTATCTATCTATCTATCTATCTATCCTATCTGTCTATATATATGTATGTCTATACACACACACACATATATATATATACATACACACACACACACACACACACATATATATATATATATATATATATATATATATATATATATATATATATATATATATATATATATATATATATAATCTATCTACCTACCTACCTACCTTTCTGTCTGTCGATTATCATAGCGGCCGTTCTTCCAATTAGAGCGTCGCACGAAGCATTAACTCCAGTGAAAAATCCAAACTATCTTTCAACATTCACCAATCTGCTTTTATCCGTGGGCGTAATTGCGTTGAACCATGTAGCAAACCCCACCTCATCTGTCGCTTCCATATATTGTTCACACTTCTCAAGAATTTCCAGGCTCAAATTAGACTCTTCAGTCATTTTCGTCCTCACACTCAATGATGATTATATTTACTTTGGATGTAAAATGATCTTTATCACTCGTGACTTACGAACAATGCACAATTAAGTTGTGCCCGTTCAAAACGTGACTGCGATATTTGCGCCTTTCGACCAACACATCCTACTCATGCAGGCATTTGGTTTGTTTTTCCAGTTCATGCACAAACAGGTGGCGGGGATGAGAAACTCAATCCACGACTTTCGGATGACACAAACATAAGTGAAGCCCTGGAAGAAGAGGTGATATGTTAACGGCTCAGACGAGTGGTTCCCAATTAGCTAAGGCCTGTGGACCTCTCTCATTTTCGGTCTGCCGGGGACCCCATACTTCCTAATAGTCTCTCCATGTGGGGGTTGGAGCCTCATTGTAAGGGGGGGGGTGGGAAATAGACCCACGGACCCCCCCCCCCCCCTTTTAAACATGGAGAGGTCGTAGGAAGGGACTAATTAGGGGCGTTTACTTTAAAGTTAGCATCAGCCTGACAGGCGAGGAATCAACAGTCATTAGATCTGTAAAACCTATGTGCACGCGTAAAATCTAGTTCTGGCAGAAAGTCGAAGTCCAGAAGTGGAAGACCAACCAGAACTTTCTGCTGAAGTTTAAAGCCAGTGAACGCTAAGAAGACTTAGGAGTGTCCATGACAGGCAAACAGAAGATAATAAAGAAGTCAGAAATCGGACAAGGAGAGGTAATAATGGACTTTTTGTGTGTGTGCATCAGGCTTATAGTACTATACTATTTTATAGAAAATTCGGCACTCGAGCAACATCTGCCTTTACTTCCCAGGACATTACCTGGTACCCATTTTAAGCTTAGTTGACCTGGGAGACAAGGTCAGTTTTGAAGGGGAAAAAAATCAAATTCGATATGGATTCAAATTCTTGACCTTCCATACTAGATATACCCTGGTTTGTAAGATATCCACATCTGTAAAGTAGACCCAGGCACGTAGAGAATTAAAATCTGTACTGAGTATATCATAGTATGTAAGATTTTTCATCTGTACTAGGTATTTTGAGGAGTGGCTGGTCAAATGGTTAGAACATTGGTCTTTCCAACAGGAGACCCAGGTTCAGATTCTCAGTAAGGTTGGGAATTCTTCTGTCAAAGGCAAAAATAAAATCCTAACCTGCACAGCCCTGGTGACAGCACTAGCCATGGTGCCCTAAATCTTCAGAGATTCAAAGCTTTCTACCTACACCACAGAAGTTGTAAAAACAGGCAGTAATGGCAGTTTTGGCACTGGGTATATCCTGGTATGTGAGATATTCACATCCATTCTGGACATACATAGTATATAAACAGTCAGATCTGAACTGGGCATACCATGGTATGTAAAACCTTTTTGCCTGCACAGTATACCCTATGTGTAAGATATTCACACCTACACTGCATATGCGCTGGCAGGTAATTACAACACTACAACATATGCTGTACAGACTTGGTGAGCAGTGCAAGGAATTGAAAGCACAAGTGAGCCTAGCAAAGACCCATTCAACACTGTTCTCTCTAAATACCCACACTGTCAGTACACTTACACCAGTCGTAAGCATGTGTGGTATAAACATCAAGAGAATGGACACAATGAAATACCTGAGCATAACCTTTAAAAGATGCTTGTCATAAAAGTATCACATAATGTCATACTTAGAGCCAGGAATGGTCTGGCAACACTAAAGGTGTTGGCAACAACCCATATTGAACGCCTACTTTACCTTCTCTATCAGGGGCTTGTGTTCAAGGCAAACGTTAACCATCCTCTGCAAAAAGTTATCAAAAGAAGCCGCTCCTGGATGGCCAAGGCTAAAAATGTAATTCAGCAGGTATATGACCTAGACAAGATCAGTCATGGAAAAGAATAGACAGATATACCAGCAGACATGTGTGAACTTTCTAAAGTTTTCATCGACCAGGCAAGGTACTGCAGGAACCAAATTTCTGCCGCTGTAGACACCAACATAAGGGCACAGATTAGCATTCATGCTCAGAAGACATCATTATCTACAAAGATGGGTCTATGAAGTGTGGGTCAAGGTTAGCGTGGGTGTACACAGCACAAAGTATGGGGAAAACAACAAAAGAGGATACCAGACAACTATGTCAAGCAAGACCATGGAGATAAAAGCTGCTTCCAGAGCACTTGCATAAACAGCAGAACAGGCAGTCACACATGCAGTATCGTATCAGACTCATTGAACGTGCTTCAGAAAATCACAACAGGCAGTGTATGTTCTGAATGTGTAGAAAACATTGTGAAATCACACTTAACCTCCCTTATTTGGATCTATACACCTGGGCATGCCAGTGTGAAAGGTAATGAATGAGCGGACCAACCGGCAAGCAATGCACTAATGCACGTGGGAAGAAACATGGACAGAGCAGAAATCCTCAATGTAAGTGGACAAAAACAAATCTCTGACACTAACATGATTACGTAGTATAAGACCTGAACATGGTGAAGCACATCTATGCCGCCTTCGAAGCCAGGGCAGGAGACTTTATAACCAGCTCCTATGGGAAAAATCAGCAAAGGTACTTTGCAGTGGCTGCTGCCTCAGAGGTCTGAGCACACATGGGACGTCAACTGTGATAACCTACCTTGGTATGTGAGACATTCACATCTAATCTGGGATTACCAGGGTATGTAAATATTTGACATCCATTATGTTACTTTGGTATGTAAGACATTCATACCTATCCACATTGTACCGTGGTATAAAATGGATTCATGCCTGTACAAGGTATACCATGGTATATAAAACATTGGCATCTGTGCTGGTGAGAGCCTCTATGGTGTAGCAGTGAGACGCTTGCCTTTGGATCAGAAGGTTGTGGGTTCAGGTATTTTCGGAGCATGACTTTTTCCAAAAATGACCTTGGTTCCCAGGTCGATCCAGCCTTGAATGAATACCAGGTACAGTCCTGGAAAGTAAAGATGGTCGGCGTGATGTTGACCACATTACTCACCTAGTGCCATTTTGGTCTATAAAACAGGCCTATCCATATATACCCAATATGCTTTAAGGCCTGGAAAAGGGTCCTTTACTTACATCTCTGTTGGGTATACCTTGGTATGTAAGACATTCTCATATGTGCTGGGTATACCATGGTATGTAAGACATTCACACCTGTGCTTAGTATTTATGGGTATGTAAAAAAAAACATTTACACAAAACAAGTCAAGCCAAATGAATTCAAATGTAATATCATCAACAATAACCTGACAATAACATTGATTGAAATGATTTCTGTCCTCTTCAGCTACTTCAATAAGATTTCATTCTACAATCAACAAATTAAATTAGCATTCATTCAACCCCACAATGTGTTGTGATTTACAGCCATGCTACAAAATCAGCACCTTTCGGTCCAACATATCCAATTTCAGAATAATTAGTCATCTGTTTCAACATTATTGTTGGGGGGGGGGAGGGGGGGGGGTGGATGTGTGTATTTTCCCCTCCAAAGTGTTGCTCAAAAAACTTATTGTATGCAGACTGTTGGTTCCTCATCTGTCAGGAAGATGCACTCCAACTTTGAAGGAAAACCTCTAATTTGTCCTGCACCATGCTTGTTAAAGGAACAGTGGGTCTATTCGTTTTACTCCCAAAATGGCACCCAGGAATCCATACATGGAGAACACCACACAATGATCAACAAATTAAATTAACACTCCACTCAGCGATCCATTCATATATTAACACTAAATAAACAATCCACTAAATGATCAACAAATTAAATGTAAGCTGCACTAAAATATCAACATAAATTAACTTTCCACTAAATGAAACACAATTAGCATTCCACCAAATGATCAACAAATTAAATGAACACTCCACTCAATTTTCAACAAATGAACAAACACCACATTTAACGATTACAAAATCACACAATCACAAGTCAGGTCATACATGAAAGTTGCGTATAACTTTCTGTATGGGTCTGCGACATATAGGGCAAGGTTTCCTCCTCCGCTTCAGTCGAGTGGCACAGTGGTAACAACAGGCCTGGTGGCCCGTTTTTCCATGAACAATACTGGCTGTCTTTCTGCGGGTCAGACACACAACACATGACTCCTCTTTAGATAATGGGAGACTAACAGACTTTATCTTATCAAAAGTTTTACATTCACCAGATATTCCAGCATTTGCCTGTTGTACTCCTCCCATTTTATTACTGATCCTTCCTTCTTGAGAATCTGAGGTGGAAAGAGATGATGAACATTTCCGTTTTCTGTTAATTTTGGCCTCTCTTGCAGCAGAAGAGTGATTCATGTCAAGTATGCCACACTTCTGCTCCAGGCTGGATTGAAGTGAATCCTTAGATGTCTGTTGACTTTGTGGCTGCGCATCATCAGACGTGTTGGAAAGGGAAAATTGAGACGATGTGTCCCGCTGCTGACTGGAAGCCCCAACTTGAACATCCTGCATGGTGGATGGCAACCAATCTGGCCGTAAACTCCAACAACCTCCACAGTTTCTGTGGAAGGGCGGGTTCTTTTTCTTGCAATGTTCACACTCCCACTTGTCCTGGTAAGTCAACAGATAACAAGAAATATTTAAAATCATGTCTACATGAACATGCAATCTTCTGCAAACAAAATTTGTAGTCACAAGACAACTAATACTAAATACATCAAACACTGAGATTAGAAAGCTCAATGAAGGGAATGGAAAAAGACAAGTCTTTATCATTATCATGAACATTTATCAGAACCTATATTACTAAATCATACGCTGCTGTCTTGGGTTATCCAGGCAATTCTTTGAAAAGGTTATGGATGTTCATAAGAAAAAGACATGGGTGACAGAACTCAACTGACACTATAGCATCCAATGAATAAAAGTAAACAAATGCTACTATATCATATAGCATCCCTGATGCACACGCAACACTCAGGTTCTGGAGCAGGACTGCAGTTCAGAAGTGGACGAACAACCAGAACTTTCCACCAGATTTTACAGCTGGTGAACGCGAAGAAGAAGAAGAAGATTTAGCATCCAATGAATAAAAGTAAACAAATGCTACTATATCATATAGCATCCAATGAATAAAAGTAAACAGATGCTACTATATCATATAGCATCCAATGAATAAAAGTAAACAAATGCTACTATATCATATAGCATCCAATGAATAAAAGTAAACAAATGCTACTATATCATATAGCATCCAATGAATAAAAGTAAACAAATGCTACTATATCATATAGCATCCAATGAATAAAAGTAAACAAATGCTACTATATCATATAGCATCCAATGAATAAAAGTAAACAAATGCTACTATATCATATAGCATCCAATGAATAAAAGTAAACAAATGCTACTATAGAGTGCTGGCTTCCAACATTACACCTGTACCTTGGATATGAAAGTGTATAAGTACACTGTCTTTATTTACTACATGGGATACGACCGAAACCAACAGCTGACTCTCTAGTACAATCAAACTGCAGAAACTGTAACAGGAGACAGGAATACTGGTTAAAGACTGTCACACAAGACAGGATTGTTGGCTAGATATTGCCACACAAGACAGGATTGTTGGCTAGATACTGCCACACAAGACAGGATTGTTGGCTAGATACTGCCACACCAGACAGGATTGTTGGCTAGATACTGCCACACAAGACAGGATTGTTGGCTAGATACTGCCACACAAGACATGATTGTTGGCTAGATACTGCCACATAAGACAGGATTGTTGGCTAGATACTGCCACATAAGACAGGATTGTTGGCTAGATACTGCCACATAAGACAGGATTGTTGGCTACATACTGCCACACAAGACAGGATTGTTGGCTAGATACTGCCACACAAGACAGGATTGTTGGCTAGATACTGCCACACAAGACAGGATTGTTGGCTAGATACTGCCACATAAGACAGGATTGTTGGCTACATACTGCCACACAAGACAGGATTGTTTATCCACTTCTAGACTTGTCTTGGTCTAGAACTTGAGTTTTGCATGTTGCCTTCAAAGTCAAAGTGTATCTGCCTGAGAGACAAGGAACCAACAGTGAGAATACAAATAAGCCAGGTCTGTAAAACAGATGTGCATGCAAAAATTGGAATAAGACTCAAATTTAGAAGTGGATTACCAATCAAAACTTTCTGCTGGAGTTTTCAGCACATAAACTCTAAGAAGTAATCTTTTACGACATGCTTGCTACAGCGGCAATGGATCTTAACCCCCGCAACCCTATCATGAACCCACACACGGACCACAGAACCCACACGGAAGGATTGCTGGCCAGTGACTGTCACACAGGATAGGCTGTTAGTTAAATTTGAACTGGCAGTCATAGATTTCACCACAGTACTTTCTTGCTAAGTTCTATTGTCTCACTGCAACCAGCAGTCAGTCACTGAGACATAACAAAGAAACATGACAATCCCATTACAGTTCTGGAATCCCACTTCTATAGGGAAAAATAATAGACCCACGTCCCCTTAACCATCACATAATAAAAGGTAACTAGATAGGATGGTTTGCTTAAATAAGAAACAGCTGCATTCCTTCCTGGCAGAACTGTTTCCTTTTATGCCTACGCAAATGTTTAGCAGGACTGGGAATAATTACCTTTACAAAAGAAAATAGCATTTAGAGAATTTTGTTGTGAAAAATAAATGGCTTTATTTATAGAAAATTATGATGTCATTTTTTCCCCCTACTACTCAAACAATTTTCATGTGACTGGGTCGCATGGTCAAGAAACTGTCATGCTATAATTTGTTGCAGTTAATTCTTTGCTGCATTCATATTTATTGATTAGTCCCCATAATCTATTTAGTATCTTTTTTTTTGGGTCAGTATGTGATTTTTGGTTTGTTTGTGACTTGTCCACACACAAAAAAAGTTCAAGGAATGTGGGTGGTGGCTGGAATTCCCAGATTATGGTACATATGTGATAATGGCAATGTTTTCTTTCTAGGTTGCCAGGATGAAAGGGTTAAGGACAAACACAGAAGAACATAACTCACAGCATCAGCAAGTTCGGCATCTGTGCCACTGTCAGAGTCACTGTAGTCGGCCAGGTACTCCACATCACTCTCTGCACAAACTATCAGAACTGCCTGCTCAAGGGAAAGAAATCAATCATCATCAAGAGTTATCCTAGTCACCATATCACATAACACACATGCTGATAAGTCACCAGTTATCGTTAACTATCTTAGCAGTTCCTTCACCTCTGTCAGTCAGACGCAATGGATTTAGTGTTTTCATGTTTGAGGCCTGTCCATTCAGCCAAATTATCTATCCAGGTCTTTCTTGGTCTGGCTCTCCCCCCTCTAAACAGCCAGGCATTTGCATTCTGGAGAAGCTAGGAGATCTTGTTACACGTACATACGATGACATTTTCTGCCTTTTCACTGTTGTTGAGGCTCATAATTACCAATATGATGAACTTCGTCATTTCTGATGTGGTCTCTGTATGATGTACGAAGGATCTTTTAACAAGCTGCATCTTTGAATGCTTGTATTTTCCTTTCCAGTTTGGTTATTAAGTTCCATATTCCACAGCAGTATGTAAAGGGACTGATAGTTTATGCTCCAAACAGTTTTACAAGAGATTTGCATGTTAACCTAGCAAATCATGGGAATTATTTTTCTCCTTCTTAATCTTCACCAGCTGTAAACTGGAATGTTCTGGCCGTTCATCCACTTCTAGATTTGTGTTTCTTGTTTCAGAGCCTGAATTTCGCAGGTCAGTCCGTTTTATAAACCTGCTTTTTTTTTGGTAAGCAGATTGTTGGTTAATGATCTTTCATGCAGACGTGCTCCAACTTCGAAAAAAAAAATCTCTAATAAGTCACCTTTTATGAATGATAGCAAGGCAGTCTGTTCTTTTTTCGTGTCAAATGGAGCCATGGAACACACACGGTCATTGGGAATTCAGATTTGTTACAATGAATTCCCAAACTAACCACTGGTGAAAAGAGATGTTTTAGAAAGGCTGCAAACAAAACCAGAAGAGACCAGGAGAGCAATGAAGAGGTCAGAAGAACTGTTGCAACAATAGTCATTGTTGAATTCACTGAGAATCAAAATTGAAATGGTTATGCCACCTAGTAAGAATGAATCCAATAATGCCAGCAGGAAGAATACACGACATGAAAATAAAACACCAGGAGACAGAGGGAGACCTAGAAGAATTTAAATTAAAGAAGTCACCGACAGTCTGAGACTTTGCAACAACACAGCATCCTAAACAACTGAGTGCACCCTGGCTCGGCTTCTTATCATTTGTTAAAACTGTGATGCCAAAAGACATACAGCAAATACTGGACAAAAGAAGAAAGAAGAGTTATTCTTTAATCTGGGACAAAAAAATATCTGTGTGTGCAATGTATGACTGACTAAGGAGGAGATTTTAACAGACAGATAAGTTCTTTAAAAAAAAACAGAACAGCTAGACATACATGATCACAATATTAGTGATTAGTAAGGAGCATCATTACAGCACTGACACCGGACAGGTTCATAGGTGCTCCAAACCCTCCTCAAAAGCTCCACAAGTGTAACAAGACTGATGACACCTGTTCTGTGTTGATTAATCAAATGTCTTGTCCTGTTAGTGAAATGTTAATTTCTTGCAGTTCCAGGTTGTACCCTGAAGTCCATCAACCTAAACATGGATACGGAGTCATGCCCTTTGCCGAGTTCGTCTTTGCGATACATGCTGAACTTGGCATTGATAACATCGCTTCTGTCCAGTAGAGGACCAACCATAACAATTGCAGTGTCTGCAAGATAATTGGCACGTTTGTTTGTTGCCTCAAAACCTGCATGACCTGGCACAAAGATGAAGGTTAAGTGAGCCATTTGCAAAATGTTCAGTGTTGCAATCCATTCTTGCCTGATGAGACCAGCCTGGGTCTTCTTAAGCATATTCAATAAATGATCACAAGGCAAGACAGGTATGTATGTAGTACATGTGTGTGTGTGGTCCTATTTACATTTTTCACTTCAGAAAGAGAGTGACTTTACTTGCCATTCATGAATTGCCGTGTTGCAGGGATGTCACGCTTTCTGATCGGCTACCAGCACGTAGCAATTTACTAGTTGCCACTCGCCGGTGATATCATGTGTTGTATATTCCAGGAAGTGAGCACTTTTAACGGTCCCAAAACATGCAGAACTGGCCCTAACACCAACCCCCTCGACATCCCACGAGAGAGTGCAGCCTATGGGAATGAGAGAGTGCAGCCAACGTCCTACGACTGTGAGCAGCGTATATTATATGCTATATGAGACGTAGGCTGCACTCTCATGTGGGAATACATGACAAGAGCAGCTAGATAAGTGTGTATACAAGAGCAGGCAGGTAAGTGTGTATCCAACATGAGCAGGTAGATAAGTTTGTATACAATAAGTGTAGACAGATATACGTGACTTAAAGACAACAATTCCCAATTTCTGGACCAGGAGTCCAAAGGATCCACTGAGCTGAATGCTTGGTGTGACACTGTAAGCTGTGGATTTCAAGTTCTGCTGCACCTGTGGTGTATCGCTAATAGCAGATTACATTCAGAATGACATGTACTTTCGAGGAGATGCAATGCCGACACTCATGTTGGCAGATCTGACAGGTGCCTGTGTGCAAGCTTCAAGATTTTGATGGGACTGGCAAGATTTCACCCACTATTTTTCAAATGGGTACAGTGAAGGACATTTTGCGAGATTTCCACTGGTACAGGAACGGAGCAGTTATGGAGTGACCCATCTGAGGTGATGTCAGAACCTCGACTAACTGGCCAAAACAGACACGAGTACATGACAAGACAGACAGGTGTAGATGACAACACAGACACATATTCAATACAGCAGATAGGCAAAGAATTGACATTTGATATTAGATACCCCTTACAGTTGCTAAACTTGAAGAACTCTCATCAGATGAGTTTTCTGTCAGCTTGATCTCCCCTGCCTCAGTGTCTGTGCTGGAATCAACTTCGTACTCTCCAGAGAAAGCATCAGAGTCAAATTCAACTGTCACTATGTCCTTTGAAGAAATAAGATAAATGTCTGGTCAGCCACTGGCAACAACAGTTACTAGAGACATATTAAAAAAAAAAAAAGATAGTGCTGAACTAGACACATCCTGAGAAGTAACCAGCAGACAATCACTAAAATAGAAAATAACTGGACCGAGGAAGCAGGGACGTCCAAGAGAATCTTTAAAATAAATGCTGTAGAGAGAGGCCAAAGGTTACTGACTGGATTCCATCCATAATATTGAAGAGATTGCATAACAGAGAACAGAATGGAGGAATAGATTGTAAACCCTATATAACATATAATGACACAACAGAATGAATGCAATAATGATGTTGGAGGTGTCACAACCACAGAGAACATTTAGGGTGACATCTTCTTCTGTGTTCACCCTAAAAATGGAGCGCAGACCATTATGTTGTGATTTACAGCTGGACTGTGATATCTGCTCCCATTGGCCCCAAATCCAAATTCAGCAAATGCCTAGTCACTTTTTACGACATACTTGTCAGGAAGCAGCAGGTCTGCCCTTAACACAACCCCTCCTATACCTTCCGCAGGGGAGCCCTCAAAGAGACATAATATCATCAAATAAGTGATTCTATTAAGAGGATCTTTGAGTATATAGTACAGTAAATTGATTACATTACAGAGATGTATCACAATGAACTCATCTGAATGATGAAATGATAATTCTTTAACATATGCTACAAGTCTCACATCTTAAACAGGGGAAACAACTGTTTTTGTGGTTTTCTGAGGGTGGTGTTTCAGAGGGTAGTGTTTTAGATGGAAGTGTAAGAGTCAAACCATGAAATAGATTGGGGCCTCACCACATAATATTCCTAAAGACAGCTGTAAGAGACAGCATATGTTTGTTTTTTATTACTGAATACTTCTTCTTACAATTCAACTTCTGTCAATTCAAACAAAAAGTTTATGGACTTTGGTCTTGTTTCAGAACTTCAGTTTTGCATGTATTTCTGGCGTATTTGTATGCAGTCTGTTGGTTTCTCATCTCTCAGGCAGATGCACTCGGACTTTAAAGAAACACCCATAATTAGATGCCTTTTGTGAAATGCTTGTTAGGGGGCTAAAGGTATATCCCCCCCCCCCCCCCCACACTATGGAAAAATGTTAAAACAGAATGTTACAAACAAAAACATGCAAACTTACATCTTCTGGCTTAGCCATTTCTCCTGGTGATGTATCCATCATCGCCTGGCTTATCCATGGACCAGCAGCACCATCCGGCTCATCGTATGTCATGTTAATGGACGTACTTCGCCTCCTGCGACCTGATTCTGACTTCTCTGATCATGGACACAAGTCAAAAAAACATTGAACAAAATTTTGAGGAAGACAATGTAAGTGGCGGAGCACTTCCTCTTCTTCTCTTTCTATCAAAGTTTTGGTTGTTTGTCCATTTCTGGACTTAAATATGATCCAGAACTTGAGTTTTGTGCTCACATCTAATCTACAGATCTGGCTTATTTGTAAGCTGGCTGGTTTGATCAGGCTCTCCTTCTTCTTCAGTTATCTCTGCTCTTGCGCTCAATCCACTATAGACCATATTCTGGGATGTCAGCTTTTGGTCTCTTGGGTTTCCCCAAAGCTTAATTGTCAGGTCTAGTGGGTGTGGCAATATGTTGCGCTACAGCTCCTCCAGGAGAGGGCAGTCTTGCATGACTTCTTCTACTTTTATTTAGTGCTCACCAGCTGTCAACTCCAGTGGAAAGTTATGGCTGTTCTTCAACTTCTGGACATTGGTCTTGCACATGTATTTTACACATCTGGCTTGTTTCTACTCAGACTGTTGGTTCCTCACCTCTAGTGACTAATTAGTTGCCTTTTAGAAACCATGAGCTATTGGGGCTCTGACTCACCTAGTGAAAGGGCTCACGTTTGTCAGTTTTTATGTCCTCAAGCAAGCTGGCAGGGGATTACTTTTACCTCTCAAAGAAACAGAACAAAGTAAAAACAAACTGTCTAGGTGACAATGGGGTAGTAGCATCTCTGGATTTCATTAGAAAACAATCAGTTAAACAGTTTGGCCATATAACATGGATGCTAACAAACAGTATACCACAAGGTGGGAAGCAAAGAAGAGGCCAACCATGCAAATCATTGACAGAGGAGATAACAGAGTCCCTGGGACTGTTCGCCATTGACAAACGGGCACTTTCCTGCAAATTAAAACTCTTCTCAACACAGCAAGATACACAAGGATCGAGATGAGATGAGATGAGATGAGATGAGATGAGAAGAAGTGGGTCTATTCTTGTTTCTCCAAAATGTGGTCCTAGAACCCATAGGGTAATTTAATTTAGCAAACAAGCGTTAACACACACACACACACAAAAAACATCTAGCGCCCCTATTGTGTGCCTATTTTTTTATTTAAAGGATTTGCATGACACAATAACTGCAAGTGCGTGACCCAATGACCGCAACAGCACTTTTGCCAGTAGTATGGTCGCCGGCAGGGTCTCTCAGAAGGGGCAGGTTAAGTGATTAGGACCAGAATAAGATGAACAGATCAAATAATCAAAAAGACTATATTAACCTATCATGAAGAAAGAATAACAGGTAAATCAAATGCCAGGGGAAGCAAGCCCAAAAGAAATGCCTAACTCAGATGTAACTGACCATGAAATAGTGTGGTCAAGGTCACTGGCTGGTGACATCAAAGATGTACCAATAGTTATTTAACACAGATATAATCATGATCAGCATGAGAATGACATGAATACACACCTGGCCACTGGTGCTCTTCCCAGCAGTCACTGTTTTTCCCAGAGTCACTGGAGCTGTCCGCTGATGTTTTCTGCATAGCAGGTTTCAAGTTAAAACCATTTTAAAAAAACCATCCAAATAATGACAAATCTAAGTAACAAACCTTGGCTTACACAAACCATGAAACAACCCTAGCCGCCCAAACAACAGCTGCAGAAATGATGACAAACCTCAGCTATACAAAGCATGAGAAACTTCAATTACCCAAGCAATGACACACCTCAGCTACACAAATCAGCCATATAAGCCTTGGCAAACTTTGTCTACACACACCATGATAAACCTCAGCTATAAAAACTATGACAAAAACAAACAAAAGGATGACAAAACTGGCAATCAACAAACAATCAAAACAGCAACCTGTAACATGGAAACTGGAACTTATTTTTTTTAAAATGTGTACACCCTAGCACAGCGGTTCTCAAACTTTTTCAAGTCATGACCCCATTTTATAGAGGCAAAGTGTGCCCGACCTACATACATTAAAAATAAGTTTTTTAATAGGGTGTATAAGTAAGCAGTAAAGTAAAGATCCTTTTTCTCGCCTTTGGTGCATCAGGCATTTGGGAAGAGCACCACATATTTTTACAGACCAATTGGCACTAGGTGGGTAATGTGGTCAGCATTACGCTGACCGTCATTACTTCCAAAGGACAGCCATCCCGGTACCCATTTCAAGGCTAGGTCAACCTGCGATGCCCCATGATAAAAATCTATGCAGCAAGCAATGGGTTTTGATCACAGTACGTTGGAATTATGAGTCAGACTCGCAGCGTCTAAGCCACGGACACTGCCAGAGTGTATGAGAATACATTAAAAAAAGATTTTCTACGTTCAGCAAGTAGGTCTCTTTGCAGGATGCAATGATGTTATTCGCTGTTTCCTTTTAAAAAATGTCATAGCTGACTGGCAGCCCCCACAGAAAATCAAGTGCTGCGATCCACAGCGGGGAACCCATTTCCTAGCGGGTTAGCGGGTTATGTTGTGGTGTTTCATCAACAAGACAGGATGCAGAGTTGCAGGTGGTGGTGGACCATGGCCTATTTTGGCGAGGTTCTCTATGGAAGGTCAAAGCAGAACAGAGTATACAACCAAACAAGTGGGTTTCCGTGGTGAATTGGTCAAGCAATTTGCCTTGTGTTCTAAAGGTCATGGGTTTGTTTCATGGTCCACGTCATTTGGTTCATAATACACTTTTCACAGACACTGATCGCCACTACAGCTACAGAGTTCATGCTTCATGCGGCACCCTCAACAGGTGATAAATGAAGTACATCCTCTCAACTTTTTACTTCCATTCAACTCACAACCACGCAACTGGACCGAACCTGTTTTCTCTTGGACTTCTCCTCAAGATCCAAGCGGGTCACAGTAATGTATGACTGAGATGCCTGCAAACTGGCAGCTGAACTGATTGAAGATGATGGCTCTGACGATGAAAAAGACGATGCTGGTGTTGATGACAATGAAGAGCTGAATTCCTGGGAACTGTTCAGTGCTTTCTCTGTAGATGCTGGTGGGACACAGAAATGAAACATACAGCTTTCTAAGTTTGGCCTGTGGGAGTCCTATGTTGAGTACTGGGCATCCTTATGTGGGTGCAGGGACCCTTTTAAGGAAATAAAAGTCTACTTAAAATGGGAGTGTATCAGCATAAGAGGTGAGGAACCAATAGTCTGCACACAAATAAGCCAGATCTGCAAAATGGATGTGCACACAAAACTCAAGTTCTTGAATAAGACCAAAGTCTAGAAGTGGACAAACAAACCAAAACTTTTCAGGGAAGTTTATAGCAGTTGAACATGAAGAACATGAGTATTGGTCAGCAGCTGTAGCTTGGGTATTGTGAACATAATTTGTAATTCTAAAATACCTAGTTTCATTTTGCTAAAGGGCAATCTGACAGTATTCCATTTTGTGTTGATTTCAACAATGGAATGAAGTGCCAAATTTTCAGAAAGCAATGGAAAACTAATTAATGTAATGTCTAGTAAAACCACAAACAGCCATCACATTTTTGGATTGGTTTGCCAAGTCTCGTAAAAGATATACTACTAACTTTTAACTGTTTAAATTTAGTGTGACTGAAACAGTAATATCTTCAATACTATCACACATGGGGAATCAACAACTCAACCATACATTTAATACTCCCTCACAAGAGGAATCATTCACCTGAACCACACTTCCTATACTTCTACAAATGGGGTATCATCAACTCGAACCATGTCAAATACTCCCACACATGGGATATCATCAATCAGAACTATGTATCTAATACCTTAAATCATCAACCAGAACTATATATTCAATGCCCGATGTGCTCAAGAAGTGAAAAGGGATCTTTACTTTACTGCTTACCCATTCACCCTATCAAAAATACACACAGAAAATCATCAACTCAACCACATGTCTAATACTTCTACACGTAAGAAAATCATCGACCAGAACTATGCGTACTGAATACCCACACACACACAGAGGAAATTATCCACTCAACCACACATCTAATACTCCCACATCTGGGAAATCATTAACTCAACCACAAGTCTAATACTCCCACATCTGGGAAATCATCAACTAGAACTATGTATTCAATACCCCACACACAGGAAATCATTAACTCAACCACATGTCTAATACTCCACCACCTGGGAAATGATCAATCAGAACCATGTATTCAACACCCCCACAAATGAGGAATCATCAACTTGACCACATGTCATACCCCCACACATTGGAAATGAATACTTGAACCACACTTCTATATTCCCACACACGTGGAATCATCCAGCTGAATCACACATTCAGTGCTCCCACACATGGAAAATCAAAAATATTGACTACACATCAAATTCTCCTCACACAGGGAAACCTTCTTTCATAGTGTTCACTAGCTGTTAACTTTGCGAAAAAGTTCTGGTTGTTCATCTTCTTCTGGATTTTGATTGGTTCCTAGCCTCTCAGACAAATGTACTCCGACTTGAAGGAAACACCCCATAATTAGTCACCATCTATGACGTGCCTGTTATGGGAGCAGTAGACATTATAGGAGCATTGGTTTTCCCTCCCCCCCCCCCACCCCCTCATGGGGACCCAGAACACACACACAAGAAATATGGGAAATCAATTATTACATGTTGCCTACTTGGTCGACCCAGACTAAAATAAAAGTTCTGTAAAGAAAAGATGGCCGGCACGATGATGACCATATCCCCCACTGACGTATAAAATTATGAGTCTAGTGTCACATCCCGCTTATGTCGCGTGCCTGATTTAAGGATTGCTCCTTAAGAACCAACAGCACTCTAAAATAATAATGTTGAGGCGTCGGCTCGTATTGGTCTAAGGGAGATCCCGTGGCCAATATATGCTCAACTTATTTCAGGAGTAGGGCAACTCAAGTTTTGGCACTACAAAATATATAATATTCCTAGACACACTTGGCTGGACAGTATACTATCATAGCCATGTTAACACAGATTACACTCACTAATCACACAAACATAAAAGCTAGACAGAATGGTGAAACAGGGACACCCAAGTCAGCCATGAAAATTTCTGAATGGATGTAATAATTGCAACATATATATATATATATATATATAAAGACAATCAAGATGGTTTCCAGTGAATGGAGTTCAGGACTTAACGTCACAGCGATGATGTTGAAACAGCCAGACACAGTTCAGAGAGTACATGAATCATCATAGGTAGCCATGTAAATAGAGCATGTATGTCATCTCAGATGTTACTTATCCAATCTGGTAGGTCACTGCTCCCCTCAGTCTATGGTGATTTGAACTGGCTGACTGTGTAGATCGCTTTTCCTCTGGCTGATCTGGTAAACACTGATCGTCTCACATATGAGGACAAAGGAACTGCGCTGGAGCCCAACAAAGCTCCTGAAGAAGGCTTCCTTGAATTGATGACACAAGTGGCCTGCAATACTGCCTCTCAGCCACTGGAACTCACACACAAGCTCCTGCCATGCTGAAGTTGTGGCAACAATAGGTAGGATTTTGGGTAGGTTTGGTGATAGGGATGGTGATTGTTGGCTGGACTGTGACTCATTTGCCTCACCTCTAAGGAGGTATCATCCTGTCAGGAAAGAACTCAGAATTAGTATTCATCTTAGGATTCACACACCAAGCTCAATTTATCTCCCTCTACCCTTCTCAGTCACTCAGAGGATAGTCTCAAGAACAGGAGACAATGTCCCCTTCATTTATCTGTCTGTAAGTCAGTACACCAGATAGAAGACGAGGTACATAGTGGAGATAGATAGACACTACTACACATAGATCATCCTCTCTCTCGTTCGTTCGTTCCACCTTTCTAGCTGCACCCACAGACATACATTCTATCCACATGTATATATTTTATATCTCCACAATCTGCCCACTGCACACCCAATGTTGAGGTGCTAAAAATAACCTCTGACTCAGAACGCCTAGCTTGCTTACGTGCGAACCAGTTACACATGTCTGTTAGTCAACACAAACTCCGTTGTCTGGCTAAAGAATAATTAACTTGCTGGGTTTAATATCTTTATAATGGTGTGGGTCATGTAGAGCACAAATTATTAGCCTGCGAAGGGAAAGGTTTGATTTTAGGGGCTTGAGTGTCTGGACATCAAGAACGGCCCAGTTCTGTGCGGTCACACAGCTGAATCTTCCCTCCCTGCAGCAGTGGCCAACTTTAAAGAGACGTATATTATGGTACTCGTAAACTATAATCAACTTACCCAAGCTTAGGAATCCTTCAAAGATTAAACTGGTATTTTGAATGCGCCAAAGTTTAATGAGAGAATTGAAATGTCTCTCGACACCTCAGAGGTCTGGCAAAGAATGCCCGCCCTAAATTCCGCTTGGCATCTCTAGAAAAGAAGTCCTGTATTCGTGCCCAAGGAGTAAAAAGGCTTACAGGAATTTCTGAATATTATTCAACAAATTATCTATCCCACAGTTGCAAGTTTGAAAATGTAGACTTCTCAAAACAACTAGAGGGTCTAGAAATGTTTATTCCACCAGATTAAGGTATATATCAATATGAGGGACTATACCACCACCCCCCCCCCTGGACAGGTTTAAATTTGAAATGTGACCTGCCTGCTAGGGATGTCAACGTCACGACTAGTCCAAAATGTAGGGTTGGCTGTTCACTCCGCAACATCTAGTATTGTTTTCTTCTTTCTTCATTCGCTTGAAATAAATTACCTATATCTGCAAAGCTGTCTCTAATATGAACTTCACTGTCTTTTGTAATTCACTTAGTGGCCCGTAAAGTTCAGCTTCCACCAGTGTCTCTCTAGGCCAGAAGTTTTGTCTGGAAATGTTGTATTCGGGACAGTCTCGGAGGATGGTCAGCTCTGTAGCTAGGTCGATGCGAACGCTTCGTAATGCCGGGTTTGATCCTAACTGCAGGCCATGCGCCTTGCGTTGGTTTCGACATTAGTATCAAGAGAGCCGACCGTCCAGAAAGCAATGGCAAACTACTGGATGTAAATTTACCTAGAAAAACTACACAACAGCCAGGGGCTGTTGGGGTTGGTTCTGCAACGTCCTGTAAAGGATACGCAACTAACCAGCTTGGAGGATGTGATCTGTTCTTTCAGATGCCAGTCCACATGTGCACATGGCTGATTTGCCAATCTTAAATTTTGTGTACAGGTGAGTCTAGTACCATATGCTAGATGTGCTGCAGGTGTAAAGAAAGTTCTTTACAGCTTACCTGGTCCAGTAGAAAGATGACATGCTATATGTTGTCTGCCTGGTTGTGTGCTGACTGTTTCTGTCATCCTGTATTTACTTATTTCTGGTGTGCATTGCTGGAATGAATAAAAAAATGTGTTATTAAACTTCTTCTTCTTCAACACTTGTCCTTAAAAGTGTTGTTGACATACTGTGCAGTGTTATACAGGTGGGCCCAAATTTCTCAGAAAATCCTTGATTAGTCACCTTTTACAAGTTGCTTTTTTATGGAGCAGTGGTCTATTCATTTTCCTCCAATAAATGGAGCCTGGAAATCAAACACAGGGAGTACCATCAAACAAGAATGCTGACAAAGATTCTGTTTCAATTCTTTTGATATCATACAACTTTCAAAACAAATGTCTAAGAAGAATCCTGTGAAACTTTTGGCCCATCAAGATCATACATGAAGAACTGAGGAGGAAAACAAAATGTTCCTCATTAGCAAACATTATCAAAGGAAGAAGATGGAGATGGCTTGAAAATATATACATAATGTCTTGTAGCAAGGACAGCTCTCCAGTGGATGGTAGCTGAGGAAAACAGGAGACGTGGATGACTTAAAAAAACCCTGAGAAGGACAGCAGAAAGTGAATGAATGCAACCTGACATGGTATACCATAGGCAGAGAAGCAGTCGACCTGCAGCACTGAAAATCTCTTGTAAATATGTTATATGTCAACAAAGACATCACGAGGATAAAGAATAGAATATAGATTTAATTCAAATCAATTTAGTTCATTGGTTAGTTCAAAGACAGAATATCTGAGTCTGTGTGTGTGTTTTTACTTACATCTATCCCAGACAGTTTCTAGATTAATTTATTATATCTTTATTGTTAATTTGGGTCTTACTATTTCCTGCAAGAGAAAACGCAACCTGAAAACTTAAATGTTATGGTAGAGCTGACCAGATGATCAGTCTTGGTTGGCAGCTGCTCTTGGAGGGAAGCTCCAAAAGGCAGACAGAGAGAGAACTGTTTTTCTGATCTAACAGCTTCTGCAGCATGCTTTGTTCCAACTGTATTAGTGTTACCTTTCCTTTGGTGTTAACAAGACGCACTGACAGAGGGATCATGTTTATATCATAGTTGAGGCCAACCTCAACATCTTTTACCCATCTGTAATTCACCACAGGGGATGTCCTCTGGGACTTTTATTTTCTATTCTCCAACTGTGTCCTAGCCATCTAAGCCTTCGAAGACTTAGCAGTGAGAAAATTGTCCATAGTTATGTTATCACAATTGACGTCACTGCAGAGTGGGCATTCCCATGTGTGCACAGTTCTCCGATGCAGCAGCCATACTAAAGTACTTCAACTTATTGTCCCCATGAGAAGCTTGTTATATTGTCTCACATCTTGGCCTCGACGGTATAGATGTGCTTCACCATGCTTTACTCCCATGTCACGCAATCGTGTTAGTGTCAGGGATTCCTTATCCACTAGCCCAGTCCGGACATCATTGACAATATCTGCTCTGTCCATGCTTTTTCCCACATGCCTTAGTGCAGTGCTTGCCAGTTGGTCCGCTCGCTTATATCCCTTTACGCCTGCATGACCAGATGTGTAGATCTATGTGAGCCATAGTACAAAGCCTGGAGACAGAAACGTAGAGACCATGTGGATCCAATGCAGCATGACCCCTCTCTCTGCCTGCTTTTTTTATACCAAAGGAAAGATAACACCGATACGTTTTGAACAAAGCATGCCGCATAAGCTGCCAGATTAGAGAAGCAGTGTCATCTTTCAGTGGTCACAAAGAATTAGGGCAATTTCTTCTTCTTAGCTTTCCCCGGCTGTAAACTCCGGTGGAAAGGTGTGGTTATTCATACTTTTCTGGACTATGATCTTCTTCCAGAATTTGAATTTTGAGTACACATCTATTTTACAAATTAGGTTTATTTATATGCAGACTGTTGGTTCCTAAACTCTCAGGCAGATGTACTCAAAGAAAACACCCCTAATTAGTTCCCTTTTGTGACATGCTTGTTAGGGAAAAGTGAGTGTGTTCATCCCCACCCCACTTCAAAAATGAAGCGCCAATACCCACAATGGGAACTTGAAAACATAAGCCTCCCTCTTCTCTTTCTCACCCACTACCTCTACCCCACAAACACACACCCCATCAAGTGTCTTACTTGGGCTGCCAGGTGATGTTGGCTTGATAAGGAAGCAGACGTAGCCGTGGAAGTTGCCAATTTGGCTGACTGTGCTGCAGTTGTGTAAGATGCTGCACCACTTGCTGCAGTCACATGTGGTTGGTGGTTGATGGGTCTTGTGACCAGGTGCCGATATACACGTATACATGAGTCAGGTTCCATCGTACAATTTTTGCGTAATAGATTTCTGTAAAATGAGAATACCAGGCTGTAAAATGAGAATAGCAGGCTTCAGTAGCACAGAAAGACTTCATGAGAAGAAACTTCAATACAATAGGAAGACCTCAATAGAACAAACAGAATTCAGTAGAACAGACAGAATTCAACAGAACATACAGACTTCAGCAGAACAGGCAGACTTCAACAGAACAGACTTCAGTATAACAGATTACTGTGTAAATAAAATTTCCAGTAGACCAGTAGAACAGATAGCTTCAATAGAACAGGCAGATTTCAGTAGACATACTTTAACAGAATATACAGACCTCAGAATAACAGGTAGATTTCAGCAGAACAGACATCAGTAAACCATCAATATTTAACTTCTTTTTCTTTGTTCCAAACTACTTTTACGTAAATTTGCATAGAAAAACCACACAACAGCCAGGGGCTGTTGGGGTTGGTTCTGCAACGTCCTGTAAAGGATACGCAACTAACCTTTTCTTTGTTCACCCATTGTAAGTTCTGATGGGAAGCTATGGTTGTTCATCCATTTGAACTCTGGCTTCCGTTTTACTGGCTCATTTATGTGCAGTTGGTTTTTCCTTGACTTCGAAGGAAGCTCCCAATTAGTCGACCCCTACAACTTGTTCGGTAGCAGTGGGCCTATTCTTTTTTTTCCCACAATAGGGCCCAGGAACCCCTACGGGGAAATATTTGACTTGAAATCAGCACAGAAATATATACAACATGAAAAGTGCATAGTTGAGAGTGGTAGCCAAAAAATAAGTGTCATAACCCGGAAACCGCAGAGGCAAGATGACTACCTGTCAATCCATAGGTTCTGGGTTCGAATCCAAACACAGAATTTTAAATATTCACCTTGATTCCCAGATCGGCCCTGCCTAAAATGTGCATCAGGAAATGCCTAGAAAAGTAAAAGCGGCCACATCAACCTGGAATACAGACCGATGTATGAAATATGAAGGTTGCTAGGAAACGTCTAGAGAAGTAAAGGTGGCTACAACACCCTGGAATGTCGACCGATATTTAAAATATGACGGCTGTCAGTTAGTTAGTCAAAAGATTATCCTCACTGCACATCGAACCATTCAGTCCATAAGTGCTCGGATCCCCTCCTTAGTAGATCCCACAGCTTGTAGCGGCTCATGACACCAGTTCTGTGTTGATTTCTAATTTTTCTTTGGCTTCCTGCATAACACTCTTGTCTGGCCACACCCCTCTTAACATCTTGTTCTTGCAGTCTGGTCATGGCTGTCAGGAATGCATAGGGAAGTAAAAATGGCCAAATCTCCCACGAAATGCGGACATGGTCTATAAAAAATTATGGCTGTCGGGAAATGTCTTGGGAAGTAAAGGTGGCTGGTCCGATGTTGAAGGCATGACCCACCGAAAGCTCAATGGTCAATAAAAGTATGGATCTAGCACCATGTACCCGATGCACCAATGGCAAGAAAAGGGCCCTTTATATTCTCTTGTTGTTTTTATTTCTGAATGGCAAGAACAAAGAGCATGGAGTAAGAAAGAGCCTGGTGACACTGACTTGGCATCATGCACCGTGAAGGTATCCACTTCAAGAGCTGCACCCAGCAGATCCTTGCCGCAGTGTACAATCCTTGGGTTCTGCTCATCGTACAGCACCCGCTCTCGGATGTAATCCTTGACATGATTAAAGATCTGCAGATAAGAAATGCAACAAACTGAATGTACATTTGTAGAGCTGAGCAGGTGCATGCAGAAATACAAAAATGGGAGGATGCACCTCAATCTTTTCACCCTAAGAATGCTAATATAAATGAGTCACGAAACTTGGAATTCCCAGAAAAAAATCCTGTTAAAAAATTACCATTTGAAACAGGTTACTAGCACATTATTTCTCCCCATGACCAATAACGGCAGAAGTGGCTTAAGATAATGACTAAAAGAATTTTTTTTTATTTCTTTATCTACATTAGGAATTTCTCAGAGAAGCATTTCACAGGATCTTAAACAAAACAAATTTATTAGGTGACTCATGCCGTGACTGCTATCAATAAGGCTTGCAAGGAAAATTTTATGTCAACTTGGCTTTAAAAAAGTCATTAGGGTTATAAGGAAACCGCCTTAAAGATATGAGTTATTGCATGTGTACTGGCTTTGCAGAATGTGTAAACATTCTTCACAAGGGACAGTGGTAGGCATTCTGTGTGGTTTACGTCAGCAAGAAAACGGAGCGACTTTGGGGTTACCCATTTGCTGTAAAGCTGAACTGTGATTACCTGATTACTGGATGTTTTCTTTTTACATGAATATGTATACATTTCATATGTTTTTGAAATTTAATATTATATTTATGTACTATTCCTACAATAATTAACATTATTTTTGCATTTTGAAACAATACTTATACCACCTGAGACCCCCCCCCCTCCCCGACAATTATCAGTTAGTTATAAGAGAGCTGAGCTCCCAGTTTTTTTTATCTGTGTTGGCAATCCTAGACAGACAAGTTAATTTAAACTGTAGTTGAGATGATCGGCTTCACTGCTCCGGGCTACCTCATTCATGACCTTCAGAGCACGCTGGAAACTGGTTGACCATTTTCCTACAGAGACCCTTGAAGTTTATTTGTAGCACATCACCTTGTGCAGACAGAAATATAACAAACTAAATATAAACTTATGGGAGCCTTCATGGTGTAACATTTAGATGCTCACTCGCAGACAGAAGGTCATGAGTTCGGGTCCTGATGGAGGCAGACTTTTTAAAAAATGAGCTTGGCTCCCAGCTCGACCCCGCCTTGAGTGAGTACCCGATAGTCCTGAGAAGTAAAGATGGCTGGTGTAATGTTGAGCACATCACCCAGCAAATGCAAATTGGTCTATAAAATATAGGTCTAGACCTATATATCTAAGATGCCTGAATGCACGCAAAAGGTTCCTCTACTTTAATAAACTTGTAGCAGGCTAACCACAACACTGGTGAGAAAAATGATAAGTCATATCACAATTTTAATTGGTGAAAATGACATCCTAGAACTCAGATATGCAGACGCCTCACAAAGTGACTTCTGCTGCACTGTTCTCGCAAGCACGTAGCTCAGTACATCTGATTTCAACAAGCATTTTTCGGGTTTGGACTCTGACTGTCCAAAGTCTACTTGAAAGGCAGTTTCATGGGCCCAGTTTTGGAACTAGTTAAAAAAAAAAAAAAATATTCAGATATTGCAGTTTATCTTTAAACCACAACATAAAACTGCCAACCGCCCTTTTGAGGGCGAATGCAGAAGAATAATACCCAGATAGCACAGGCTGGCTAGGACCTGCTTCTCAATCCTAGATATATGGGGATGCTTGGAAAAAGAATGTCTCTGGCATACAGCTGAATTTAGAACTGAAATCATAGATCATAACAAATAGGGACATTTCCATAAGCACTCCGTCTCCATCTTCAGCAGCCAGCAAAGTTCTTCTGATAGTAACAGTAGCAGTCTGATCGTATGTCTATCCTGCCTTTTTTCTGAGTGTTGGTGAGATCCTCTCACTCCTCGCTGCATCATTCTCTTCAGATGATCTGACTGTCTCCATTCTGTTCATTCTCTCTCTTTCTCTCTCTCTCAAAAGGCCTTGCTTGTCTTGCATCAATTTAGCACACACATCAAATATAAATCAAAATATACACATAAAGATTACCTCATCCAAGGTAAATGTCTCACCAATTCCACCAGCCAGGTGTAAAACCTTCATCAGAACTGGCCTTGGCCTCCACTGAAAAGCAAACATATTAAAGCTGTCAACAAAACTACACTAGGTACATAAATAACCTGTTAAAACACACTTTTCCAATCAGTTTATGCTTTCAATTTTTCCCCGTCTTGGGCCAATAAAAAAAAAAAACTCATATCAGAAGCTGTGCCGACTGCACTAGCCATGCGACTAGGAGTCCTCAAGCCAAGACTTCTGTTCTACAACACACCATAACTTCCTTTCTTTGTCATGATAGTCTTTTATCAATTTTCTTACAATGTAATTACAGAACAGAATGGAGGAATAAGCAGCAAGTCCTACCTATCACATGATGGCAAAACAAGATGATGATGATAAAGATCATTAAAATTTAATCAAATACTAATTATTTCATCACAAAGTTTGAATATCTAGGCTCCATGACAAAGAGGAATGGAGAATGTTTAACAGAAGTCAAAAAGAGAATGGTCAAGCAATGCAAAGAGTTAAAAAAAAAAAAAAAAAAAAGTTAGCTACGTATCCTTTACAGCAAGTTCAGAAATAGCCCCAGCATTTTTTGGCTGTTGTAGTTTGTCTAGGCAAATTTATGTTCAGTAGTTGCTCCCTGAAAGGTCGGCTCTCTACACCACTGTCAAAACCAACACATGGCCTTCTGCTGCTAAATTGCCTGCAGCTGGGATCGAACCCAGCACACAATCAACACCTAAGCTGCAAAAAGTAAACAACATTAAAAGTCTTGGGTTGGGCACCAGCAAAGAAATCTAGGTCAAAATTTTGAGGGCATGCATCTTTCGTGTAGCAAGATAGGGATGCAAGTCGTGGACTATCTCACAATCATTAAGAAAGAAAACATAGGCCTATGATCTGAAATGGTACAGACAGATTCTCAGAATACAATGGAATAAGAGAAAAACCTACTGGACACAAACAAAATAAATCATCACACACAAAAAAGCACTCCGTCCCCATCTTCAGCCGCCAGTGGAGAGTTCTGATACTAATGGTGCCAGTAACATTCTGATTAAACATCCATCTTGCCTTTCATCTGAGCCTTGAGCATCTGCCAGAACCTCTCGTCACTCCCAGCTGTATCAATCTTACCAGACTGTGGTGATCCATCTGCTCCTCCAAACTGTACACGCTCTCCCACAAGGCCCTAACCATGTCTGTCTTATCATGTATCAGTATTCCACCAAGTTGTGCAGAGCCAGCTGGTCTAGCCTCCTGTTCATTTCTCAAAACACTGGCGTCTCCGGGCGAAAAAATCCAAACAGTGCTCCCCACCTGTGTCCTCCGCAGTGAAGTATGCCTGTCCTGACCTTCCTCAGCATGCTTTTTGAGTCAGTTACAATCATGATGTGTCTGTGGGTCATGTTCTCTAACCAGCAGAAAGCTGCAGTGACCGCCTCCACCTCCATTCTCAAGCTGGATATGGTATCATATGCTAGGCTCTCAGGCACCAAACATCAACAATGAACTTTTGCTAAGAAACCCCAAGCACTTTTTTTTGCCACTTTACACTGAACTGTCTGGGTAAATAATAAAGGATACAGACTAAAATGACTACTATCATCACAAGAGAAAAAACCTACTGGATATAGACAAAATTAATTCCAGTCATGAGAGATCACCCTAATGAATACAGACAAAATTGACTCCAGTCATGACAGAACAACCTAACTGACAGAATTAACCCCAGTCACAAGAAAACAATCTAGATGATACCGATGTCTGTCTGCACTTTACCATGGGGACTTTCACTGTAGTTATCTCCTCCTCCACAACATAGCCTGTTGTTGATGCTGCCGAAGATGCCGCTGTTGCTGATGAGGCTGAGGGTGTAAAAGAAGACTGCTGCATGGCTGGGAGTGATGGTACTCCTGGTGTTGTCTGTGGGTGCTGAAGCGGTGCTCCAAACAAGACAGGTGCTGTCTGCCTCACTTCATGATGCTGTTTGACATCCGGCAGTGGCAGGCTGGCTGCATGGTGTTGCTGAGACTGATCTGTTTCTGCTGTTGGCTAAGAATGTAATAAAAAAATTTATATATTTATATAGAAATTAAGAATTCTTTTTACCTTATTGGGCATAGGAAGCTAGAATCATATTCTGATAGACCAATCAGCACTTAGTGAGTTGTGCAGTCAACATCACACTGGCTGCTTTACTTCCGAGGTACCCATTTGAGGCTTAACTGACCTGGAAGCCAAGGTCATTTATAAAAAATAATCCAACTCAATGTGGATTCAGAACTACAACCTTCAGTCCAGAAGTCGTGCGTCCGCCAAAACACCACTGTGGCTCCCATGAGAAACAAGCAGAATATTTAACATGCATTTTTTTAAATGTCTGGACAACCACTAATATCAACAATTAAAAGACAAGAAGATGTGGGACATATCCTAAATTTAAACGCATTCGGTGATGAGAGAGATCAAAGGTGCTAGACTGGATTCCATCTTGGGGAAACAACTGGATTCTTTCTTGGGGAAACAACTGGATTCTATCTGGGGGAAACAACTGGATTCCATCTTGGGGAAACAGCTGGATTCCATCTTGGGGAAACAACTGGATTCTTTCTTGGGGAAACAACTGCACAAAACAGAATAGAATGGAAAAATAAACTGTGAGCTCTATGTAGCAGACAAAAACAGCATCAGAATTTAGATGGTAATATGTTAACTTGGTTAGGATACAAATTGAGAAAGCCAGAAAATGTAACTAAAATGACCTTACAGGAGCAAAGGAATGAAAGCAGAGCAAGAAACACTTGGAGAAAAGACAGAATGAGGTAACAAGGACAGGAAGGAGACTAGGTGAGCTGTATGTGATGGGAAAGGATTAGGATGACTTGGTAGCAGCTGGTTGATGGCTTCTGCTCCAGTGAAAGATAAAGAACAGAAGAATATTTTCACCATGCTAACATCCCCCTAAAAGTGTCTCCACCTTGTCATAGTGGGTCTTTCAGGCTGGAGGTTGAAGCATGAGGTAGATGGCCTCACCTTTGTAAAACCTCTATCATGAAATAGATATCTGTCGAGCAGATAGACCTCATCAACTCTATACAGCAATCTATTTTATGAGAAAGAAATCTAATCACAACCTTCAATGACAGAAAAGCATGATACATTTAGTGGTGCCAAACTGAAAGGTGCAGATAGTCCAGATGGTGCCACAGCTAAATATGAAAACTATGGCACCACACTTATCATCCCTGTAAGGAGAACAAAAAGATGAGGCTAACTGAGGTTTCAACAGTACACAGCTTGACTACAGCTTAAACAATAAATAAGTTCCCGGTCTGCGTTCTGGGGGGAAAACAAGAAGAGACCCACTGCCTCCCTAACAAGCATGTCATAGGAGTCGACTAATTAGGAGTTTCCTTCGAAGACGGAATACATCTGCATGAGAGGAAAGGAAACAAGTCTGCATATAAATAGGCCAGAATATGTAAAATAGATGTGCATGCAACGCTCAAGTTCTGGAACAAGACTGGTCCAGAGGTGGATGAGCAACCAGAACTTTCCATCGGAGTTGACAGCCAGTGGACACAAAGAAAGAAATGATATAAAACTGAACAACAGAGACATGAACAAGGAAACAGGTTCTTTCTTAACAGCCGAACACAAATGATGTCACGGGACTGAACTTTATTTTAGAGGTGTTGCCAAGGTTTTCAAGCGTTTCTTCCGGTGGCGTCTCTCCAACAGCGTGTGTTCAATCTGCGGCATGAATTTCCTCGAATTAGTAATCTTCGCCATGAATTTCCTTGAATTAGCACCAGCTGCTGCACTCCGGCATCTCTCCATATCTACTAATGTCTAAAATTGTTCTGATTGTCAATTCATGAACTCAGCAGTATACATCTAGAATGTTTGGCGCTTTTTAGGGCTACCCCTAAAATACCTTAATTAGCTCAAGATCCTGCCAATTACACATAGAGTTCCACACAAACAAGTTGCAAAACTGCATCCTCCTACCCAGCAAAACTGCATCTTCGTCCCCAGCACACACACAAAAACTGTATACTCCCGAGTTCACACAGAATACACAGCACACATTATAAATGCACAGGAAAAACTGCACAGTACATACAACTGAAAACTGCACAGCAAATGAAATGTCAAATTACAAAACCATCTGCTCCCTAAAATAATGGATTGTCCCGTGACCTGTGGATTTCCCCTGTGGTCGGCTATACAGAAAGTACTAGGAAACATCACACAACATTACACTCAACACTGTACCACAATACATTCTCACAACAATGTACCACAGCATGTTCTCACAACACTGTACAACAATACATTCCCACAACACTGCACCACAATTTGTTCACAGAGGATGACACCATAGCATGGTGAACACATGTTTAAACAACAATACACCACTTAATGTTCACAAAGCGTGGTTCAAGCAGCATTAGACCACATTATAATTTACACAACATTACATCACAACATGTTTATATAACAATACACATGTTTACACAACAGGGTTCACACAACATGTTCACACAGCATGGTTCACACAACAATACACCACCACATGTTCACACAGCATGGTTCACACAACAATACACCACCACATGTTCACACAGCATGGTTCACACAACAATACACCACCACATGTTCACACAGCATGGTTCACACAACAATACACCACCACATGTTCACACAACATGGTTCACACAACAATACACCACCACATGTTCACACAACATAGTTCACACAAAACACTACAGCATGTTCACAAACCCCTCACAACCATGGCTAAAAAAAAACTGACACCACCTACAACACCAACTATCCAAGGATCAGTTACAACTTGATGGTATGAAGGTCAATTTATAATCCATTCAGACCCTTGCTGTGATTTCCTCAGTTCTAAAATTAGCCATTGTCGTAAAGACATAAAGACCCCAGGAGAACAGGGAGTGGTAGGACAAACAAGAAATCTTAAACTTGCTTTCACTGTCAGGCAGTGGTTCTCAACCTCTGGATCTAATGACCCTTTACAGGGGTCGTCAAAGACCATCAGAAAACACATACTCACTGAAGTTATGAAGTAGCAACAAAGATAATTGTATGGTTGGGGGTCGCCACAACATGAGGAACTGTATTAAGGGTCACTGAATTGAGAGTCACTGATGTAAGGGAATAATGAAGCTTAAAGACATGGGGTCTCTGGGTATCCAGTACAGTATGGTTATTCAACTATGAGCCTATGGGCCAAATTCAGTCCAGGGAGCAAGCGGCCAGCTGAGCATCACCAGCTGTATTGTATTAATGAGCTTTCTTTGCTGAGGCTCAGGCCCGCAAGGATCCCCACAGTCAACTTTTCTTATCCCTGGGTAAACCTAGTTGAATAGCCTTGCAGTAGAGGAAACAATAGATGTGGAACAAAAATATGTTGAGGATGCGTAGGAAGGGGTTTCAGACTAGTGATTAATCAAATGTATCTCAGGCCGAGACAAGCGATTAATGTATCTTATACTAGAGGTGCCAAAACAGATAAAACAGTGTGGGTGCTAAACAAATAAAAAGTGGGGGAGGGGGGAGATAACAGAGTTTAAGCCTTGTCTAAGTGCTTAATAACAAAAATAATAATTTTAAATATAATGTGCCTAAAGGCAAATTAATATATCTTAAATAATAAAATATGTATAAGCAAATAGTCAAATACTTCAACAAAAATTTCCACACATTGCTAGTTGGGGAGGGGGGGGGGGTGTCTAAACATGAAAATATAACATCAGAGAAACTCTACAACAATGCAGTGTGTCCATGGTAGAGGCAGGGACAAGAGCCATAAGCAGAACATTAAATATCCCTCAATGTTCAAAAAGAAGTGAAGAAGAAAAAGATTTGCTGGAAAAGTTTGTGTCGGGCTGCAGATATTGTGGTATAACTATAAACCATCATAAGGCAATGTGCCAGCCACCCTTTTAAAGATGAATGCAAAACATTCAGTTTCCTGATACTAACCAGAGATGAAGAAAGAGCTGACGTCTCAGCTTGACCTGATCTGTTCCCTGAATTAAATGCATTTCTGGAATCATTCATGCCCGTGAGCTTCCAAACATACAGTCCGAATACTGTGTATCTGTAAGTTCATTCATAAGTCCTGAACCATCATGCTTATGTTTACGTGTGAGCTCTTAAGCACACAGTCATCATCATGTCTGTTCATTGCAGCAGACAACAGAATACTGATGAACAAAATACTGAAGACTTGCAGCAATAAAACTCATGTGCTGCTCTACTTGGGGAACTAATGTTCTTTGGTAGAAATTATGACGTTTAAAACTCTGAGAGCAGTATCATTATGTCTGATGATATCACATCACAACCAAATGAAAATTTCATAATCATCCACGCACTGGAGAATTAGTTAAATCATTTTGTCAAATTGGTGGTTCTTCTATCTATAGGAATCACGAATCCATTTGAAGTTATATTCACTGTTTGATTTTTATTATTTATATTTCCCTCCGCAAGACGCGAATTTTATGGTTGTTAGTCACGTCACTATCTCATCTCCAGAATCAAAACTTCAGTCTTATATAAAATGATTTTTTTTTTAAATAAAAAGAATTATATCATGTCGTAAGAGTGCAGGAATAGTGCAAGCTCAAAACACGACACAGTGTGATTTCATTGTTCTTATAGTACAAGAACTGTTTGGAGGTCAAGGCTTCTAAAGATTATCCTGAAAGTAACAGACAAACAACTGGCGCGTTATGCAGTAGGAATGTGGCCAAAGACCAGAAACGCATGGCTGGATGAGTCAATAGTTCACCGGAATGTTTGCTGTTGTTGTCCTTACACCCTCCTGCCTGGACAAGTCCAGACTCGTCTGGGGAAACCCGCTTCCGGTATCTCCTCTTGGTCTAAACATAGATCTTGTCCTGTGCAGTGTTGTCACTTTTGATGTTTTACATCTAGATGCAGAGAATAAAAAGCATAAAAACTGCAGTTTCATTCAAAGATATTACACCGCTGACTGTTTTCAGAATTACACCGATTAAAGAATATTCAAAAGTTAAAGGATCTGTCGCATTGTTTCTAACTTGTCATTGTAAATTTTCGAGCTGTGACCATTTGATTGATTTGTTTTAAACACTACTTCTGTCAGTAAAGTTACTGATAACGTAAAAATGCATCACAGAAAGTATACACACATAAGAAATACTTTTTTTTCTCAGTCTGAAAAAGATTTGATCAGTGATATTTCTACAAATAAATATAGTTTATTATTAAACGAATCGAATGACATTTCTGTACTGAAAGTGCTTGGTGTGAGTATTATGTATTACAGCAACAGTAAAGACAAAGTAGATTCTACATATCTTGGACTAGTTCAAATGAAAAAGTGTGATGCAGAAAGTATAGTTCGGGAGCTAAAGAAACATTTGATCAGCAAATAATTAGACTTAAAGAATGTGGCTGCAATTGGTACCGATAATACAATAACTTATTGAAAGCATTAAATGATGGTTCTGCACCACTAAAAATTATGTCAGATTGCAAAACTATATGATTATCAATTCAACCAGCTGTTGAAAGAATTGTAAACCAATGGTTGGAGTTGAAGACACACTTGAATATAACAAGACAAAGTGAAAAGTGCTACACAGCTGAAATACTACATGGAATGTACAGTGATGAAAAACAATTAACATTTCTTTTCCTTTTACAACCTGTTCTAAACAAACAGTTCTAATTTAAACATGTTGATAAAGTTAAATTGCTTGATGATCTCACTTTGCTATCTCACTCAGTTGATAAAAGATTGGCGTTGTCAACTTGTAAAGCTGATTTGTCCACTTGCACTATAGAGAGCTATTTGGCTCCTAAGCCAAGATATCAAATCGAATCAAAAACGGATGTTTTAAAAACAAAAGGACTGTTAACAGAAAATGAAGAGCACAACATGGGAAAGCGCTGTCAAGAATATCTCATCTCATTATTCAACAAAATATTTCACTCTTTTCTGTTAACAACATACTTCAGCCAGTAAAGGAAATACCTAAATATTGTAAAGTTATGACATTTTTAGGGCTATTGATAAAAGTGTGGCTGAAGCAGAATATCAATTAACCAAAATAAACTTGTTTGACTGGACAAACAGAACAGAATTCAAAGCGTTTTGGAGTGAAGTGAGACAATTTAAAGATGCCTCACGAAACATTCTATTCTGGAAGCTCTTTGAATGTGCCATGTCTATCATGATACTATCCCATTCAAATGCTGACGTAGAAGAGTTTTCATTGCTATGAATTATATCAAATCTAACATAAGAAAAAGGATGAAACTTAAACTCTTAAATGCTATCTTGACAATACAATTTGGCCTGGAGAGTATGAAAATACTGTTCCACTTATCAGCTCCCTGATTGTGTATTAAAATAAATTGGAACAGCTAAAGCATACCAGAGTCATTTTGGATTTGAATCTTCAACTTCATCATTCAAGCTAAGTTTACCTGTGGTTCTTGTGAGACATACATTAGTGAAGATGAGGACATGACTCTTAGGGTGTCATATCAAAAGCTATTCAATTTCTGTATCATTTAGATGTTTTTTCTAGATGTTTCCTGCGGAAATATAGATATTTCTAGATATTTCCCAACCCGTTTCTAGATGTTTTCTGTCAAAGAAAAGTGGCAACACAGACTGTGTTGCTTGAAGAAGATGGCGGGAATGGAGCAGATTCAATTTCAGTATGGGTTCCCATTGTGTCATGATATTAATTCGTCGTCTAAACCTACAACAACAAAAACCTTTAGGTGTGGTATCTCGCACTGCCAAGCTCGTCGCCGTAGCTACGGAGTAACACAAACAACCTGCGTTATGCTGACGGCACCGTCTTGAAAGTGACATGTCAGAAAGATCAACAGGAATCTATATGATAGATGTGGTGGTGGCAGAAAGTGGGCCTCAGTTTGAATAATGCGAAGACAGAAGTAATGGTGATTTTCAAGAAAAGAATAGTGCCTAAATGTATAATAAAAGTCAAAGGTGTTATTTTGGAACAAGTACACAAATTTAACTATCTAGGAACAGGGATGACATCCGATGGAATATGTATCATGCAGAGAAAGAAGCCGAATGGGATAAGCCAAAACTGCATTTTATCAAATGAAGAACATTTTATGCAATAAATCCATGTCATTGAAGGTTAGGAAAAGAATTATTGCATGCTATATAGAGCCAGTTTTAACATACGGAATCTTGGGTAATTAATAAACAAGCCGAACAATATCTTGAGGCCTCGGAGATATGGTTTTACAGACAAATCCTAAGAATTCCTTGGACAGCTAAGAAGAGTTGAGTTGAGTCAAGAATTGACCTCACAGCCCTCGGGGCATTCCCATGCGTGCTCCCTCATTTTCAGCAGCCAGCGCAGAGTTTCAATACTGATGGTACCGGTCACTCACTGGTTATATGTCCCTCTTGCCTTTACCCTGAGTGGTGTGAGCAGGTCAGACCCTCTGGCTACACCCATGTGTCTCATTCTCTCCAGGCCATAATATTCTTGTTTCTCTACTGATTCCGCTGCTTGTTCCCAAATGCCTTGACCACATCTGCCCTTTCATGTATTAATTCATCACCCAGTGGTGCAGATCCAGGTAGTCAGCCTGTTCATTACCTACTACCCCAGCAAAGAAGGCTTGTCTGCAGTGGATCACGATCGGTTGCAGTTGACAGGGCATGCTACTGACGTCACCAGGTCGGGCTAATGATGCTTTAACGCAGCTGTTCTCAAACAAGAAATAACTATTTTCGACAGTGGCAAGGGAAGACAATTTAAATTTTAACTTTTTAAGTATCTACATGATGCCTTCTTTAATAATTTCATAATTTTTAGCTGACTTTTCTTTATTACTACCGCGGCACCCCTGGCATACTCTCATGGCACCCCTGGCATACGCTCACGGCACCCTGGAGTGCCTCGCCAACCAGTTTTAGAACCGCTGCGTTAACGCATCGTTAGCTCGACCCGGTTACGTCAGCAGCATCCCCCCCCCCCCCCCCCCCCCCCGTCAGCTGGAGCCCGTCGTGAGTGGATCGCCAAAACGCTTTCTATTTCGCTCGGCATGTAGACTCTATGTGACTGCTGTTTCTCCGTCTCTTGATCTCCCAGTTCTTCTACTTCTTCCTAGCTTTCCCCGGCTTTACATTTTGGAAAATAGTTCTGATCGTTCCTCCACTTCTGGACACTGGTATTGTTCCAGGACCTGCGTGCACAGCAGTGTCAGTGTTACAGATCTCTCGTGTGTGTAGAGTGTAGCAGGAGCGCCGCCACAAAGAAAGCATGGGGGGAGCTCAGCCCCAGAGATATTCCGGTCAAAATGGACGTTAGGTAGCGGCACTGTTCGAAACAGAGGCAAATTTTTTGCTTCTGCCGGATGGTGGCCGATGCATTTTTGCTCCATTTGTAGACTGGATATAGTTTCGTCGCCCAGCTTCTGAGTTGAATGCATGGCGTGACCCTGTGAGCTGCGGATTGCATTTGGAATGTTTTTTCGACTGTGACCAACATGTTGGTGTGAATTGTAGAATCAGAAAATGGCGCGATTCCTGTCGTGCAGTGTTGTGGTGCCCGTATGTGATTAAAATTGATCGCGTGGGCAACTGCTGATCTGTTGGCGACTTCTGCTACCATCAATGATGAACTGCAATTCAAATACTGTGATAAACATTATGTGTGTTTTTCGTTGGCACAGGAGCGGAGCAAAGATGGGGGAACCCGTTTGCTATGAAGCTGAAACTAAGACTACCAGACTACCAGAGAACATTGGGGAACCCGAAAATACACACACCCACCACTTGACTCATTTTCTAGGCAATTAATTTGTTGGGGTGGGTTTCTCAGTGCCCTCCTCACCCCCCCCCCCCAAAAAAAACCACATGTAGGGGAGGGGGAGGCTGAGACACCCCACCGAATAAATGTGCAAGGAGCCGAGATGCCCCCTTCAGCCATGTATAACTTTTTTTTCTCCTTCACGTTTACTAGCTGTCAACTCCAGTTCTGCTGTTGATCAATTTCTGGAACTAAGTCTTGTTCCAGAACCTGGCGTTTACGCGCACACCCGTTTTACATATCTGGCTTATTTTAAGCAAGTTGTTGGTTCCTTGCCTGTCAAGCGTATGCGCAAAAAATGGTCGCGATCTACAAGTTGAGAACCACTGCTCGAATTGGTTGCCTTTCACGACATACTTGTCAAAGGACAGTGGCGCCCCCCCCCCCACCCCGTGGCACCCCCCCCCCATCTCCAACCAAGGACCTGGATCCACATGCGAATTCTCTTATTTGAATCACTGTCTGCCTCTTCCTGTCGTTTACTACTCTTTTCTTTTGCTACAATTGATGACTTCTAACTGTTGATAGAGGGAACCCGTTTCTGATAGCTGCAGCAAACATGGCTGCCTCCTTGTTGTCGCCGGGTAGAATCAAGCATGTCGTTCCATGGAAAACTCGGTAATTGTCGATTTCTGTTGGGGGACAGTTGTCTGGGTACACTAACGGTTCTTGCCAATATAAGATATTTAGTGGTTGTTTGAAATGTTAAAATTGGATCACAATACTGAAATTTAGTGTCAGTATGAATGAAGTGTCACAGTTTTCGTGAAACTTTGTACTTTTTAAATTTTTTGTTGTTGTTGTCATTGAGATTGAGTTGGGAACGACCCGGTATATTATATTAATATTCACATATATAGATGAGCCTTTTTAGTTTTTAAAGTTAACCTGACTCTTAGCTCTGTACATCATTATTTATAATAAATTAATAACAGTATTTTTAACTAAATAAACTCCTGAGATTTTCATCAGTTCAGTCCCCTGGCCGCATTGTAATTACAGAGTGGACAAGCGTGAACGACACAAATAACGTAATTACTGTGTGTTTGTGATAGATGCACTGCTGTCATACTAGGGTTAGTGGTAGGGTTAGGAGTGGCCGTAGTTTTAAGGAGTACCAATACCCTAACCCTATTATGACAGCAGTGCATCTATCGCCAACACACAGTAATTACCTCATCGGTTCACGCTGTCTATCGCCAGCACACAGTAAGTACGTCATTTGTGTGGTTCCCTCTTGTCCACTCCGTAATTGCAATGCGGCCAGGGGACTAAACTCCAGCGTACTCCATAATAAGTGGCCTTAGTTTTAAGGAGAACCAGATATTTAATTATTTCTTGTACTGCTATGGACAGTAATACTAATCCTGAAGGGAAACATTCACCTGTCATCTGGATATACATTACAAACCTGTGGATGCAAGAGTAAAAGGCAATGAAAGAGCTGGCAAGTGTGCCCCAAACTGTTGTATCCAACTTACGCACAAAATGTCAGGAAAACTCAACAACGTGTTGCCACCATATATGCACATTTTATTTCACAGGTACACGATCGGGTACACACAAACCCACACATAGAATAATGCAAGCAAAGCAATCATACACATCACTGGCTAATCATAAAATGAATATCCTACGCTTCGCTTACTCACACCACTTTAGCGGTGCGCTTTCTGACAGCCTACACTACCTGCCACCACACACTGAGCTGACCGCTGCAGTGCCTAGGTCTGTAGCTACCCTCACCATTGTCACATCGGCTGCCTGGAAAACTTACAATGCTTGATCTCCGGAATGTGCCCGCAGCACATCAGCTGCACTCTTGACTGTCCTCTAGACTAGTCTCTCGAAAGTGCTTCCGCCTCAAATGCTCTTAGCTCAACTGTTTGAGCTCTCTCTCTCAGCTGAACTCAACCTCAATATATACTCATGCCTGCCCCTGTGAGCTCTTCCGTGCAACACCAGATGCTCACTGCTATGTGTAATTTCCCATCATTGAGAAACCCATATTTTTTATGCAGCTGCTGCTATCCACGCACTTAGTATGCTAATTCGCCCTGCACTGGCTGCCACTACACAGTGAGCTGGCCGCTACAGTGCTTAGGTCTGTAGCTACCCTCACCATTGTCACATCGGCTGTCTGGAAAACAACACAATGCTTGATCTCTAGAATGTTCCCGCAGCACATCAGCCTGGTCGAATGAATCACGATGACCAGCAGAACTCCCAGCTCTGAGTCCTCTTTAGCACAGACATCTCTTTTGTTTCACTAGTGATCAGGACTGCCTACACATGTGTCATCACCCAAGAAAGCTTCTTCTTGAAGTAATCCAGCTCTCTTGTGGTCCAACTCTGCCAACTAGACTTCTCTTCCTTTGGCTGCACTCTCGACTGTCCTTTGGACTAGTCTCTCGTGAGTGCTTCCGCCTCAAACGCTCTCAACTCAACTGTTTAAGCTCTCTCTCTCAGCTGAACTCAACCCCAATATATACACATGCCTGCCCCTGTGAGCTCTTCTGTGCAACACCAGATGCTCACTGCTATGTGTAATTCCCCTTCATTGATAAACCCATATTTTATTGAGCGACTGCTGCTATCCACGCACTTAGTATGCTAATTCGCCCCTCACTGGGCTGAAGCCTCTTGAACCAACTGGTCCCTCCAGCCCTAAACCAACAAAGACTTCTAATATAGACTCAAGCCCAGCTGGCATCTCCTGGCTTAAGTCAACACAGCCCCAAATATTGACCCAGGTCACCAGACATTCCAATGGACTCGCGAAACCATTGGTTGCACCACATTGTCCTAACCAATGTTGCATCACCCCCCCCTCCCTCCCCCGAATCTACACATATTGGGAAGGATATTTGGAGAACTGCATATAATGAGTGAAAAGAAAATGAGAAACCTTGACATTCTGACACCATATATAGAGTATAATTTTTTTTTTTTTTATTCAGTCAGATATTTTGAGTTGTCAGCTGCATGTATATTCTTTCTTTCCCCTCCCCCTCCCTCTGCTGTCGTTTAAGTCCTCTTTTTAACGATACAATATGTGAGCTGGGTATTGGCACATTGTGCGGATATAATCATAATTTCTGTTTATATTCAGAGAAGAGTTTTTGTCCGTGTATCGAGACCTTTACAGTGAGGATGAGAGCCAGCAGGAGTTGGCCATTAGGAGGATCGCAGTTTGGAAGTCCAGGTATGTCTTTTGTTGACTACAATCTGGCACACCTTGTTGTGTTTGACTACCTCACTGATGGTGTGAAACCTATTTTTACATGATTCTCTGAGTTTATAGGTCAGAGAACAAGTTTTACATGAGCCTGAGTGTGGATCACAGGTCAGAAACAAGCTCCCTGTGTGGGTTCTGGGGTCCCGTTTTGGGGGAAACAAGGATAAACCTACTGCTCCCAACAAGTGTGTCATAAGGGTGGCTAATTAGGGGTGTTTCTGTCAGAGTCTGCCTGAGAGGCAGGGAATCTACAGTCTGCATATAAATAATTTAGATCTATGAAAGAGATGTGTATGTGTGCAAGACCAAAGCCCAGAAGTGGATGAACAACCAGAATTATCTGCCAGAGTTTACAACTAGTGAGCTCGAAGAAGAAGACAATACATGAGCCTCTGAGTTTATGGCTTAGAAATCTGAAATGTACGAGTGAACACTTTGTACAGCATTTTGAAAATTGTTTTATAATAATTGTAATTAATAAATTTGCATGTCAAGATAAGTTTAATCACCATAATGGATAGAATTAACTCATACATTCCCTATTTGGGTCCTGGGATCTTATTTGGGGGAAAATAGAATATAAGGCAACTAATTAGAGGTTTGTTGAAAACAGATGTGTTAAGCTGAAAGATGCACATACAGTAAAATCGCAGTAATTTAACTTTCAAGGGATTGAAAAATCAGTTTACATTGTAATAATACATGTGCATTCCTGCAAGGACGAAAATTTTGTTCATGTTAACAGAGTGTTTGCCTTAAGCAGCTTGTGTTAAGTTTTTATTGTATCACAGCCTAGCTGTAGACAACAATACAATGTACAAACATATTTTGTAAGGGAAAACACAAGATAAAGAAATTTAAATTAATAAGCATGTTTTCTGTATCTTCTTTAGTTGATTAATTGATTGATAAAAAAAAAAGAAGACCCAGACAACATTTTGTGAAATAAATTTGTCTTTTTCTGCCTTCTAACACTCAGTGGAGCTTAGACCCTCAGCCAACTCACACCAAGTTGTTCTGTCCTTTGCTATTGCATGCACCTTTCCCCGTGTTCTCCCCATCTGTTTAACACCACTCTCTCTCTTCTCTGTGTGTTTTTGGTCTTTCTTTATTTCTGTGCCCCTATTCCAGTGCAAAGACATTCTGTTATGTTGTTCTCAGGTTTTCTCAAAGTAAGTCCTATCCAGTGCCAGCGTCTTTTTTTTATTATCTCTTGGTCCAGTGGAACTTGATTGGTTCTCTCCGAAAGCACTACATTAGTGATTCAGTATGTCTGCCCTGTTCATAATTCTTCCTCCACCAGCCACTGCAGACACAGCCAATCTGTCTGCTCTTTTGTTTCCTTTTACCCCAGCTTTAATCCACATACCATTCACTTTCCTCTATACATGCACCAGTAAAGAATGATTGTAGTTTATAAGTAATTGCCTTAGTTGTTCTCCATGTTTCTGCTTTATACAACAGTACTGAATTGATATTAGAATTAAAATTTAGTAATCAAGTGATAGTTTTAATTTCTCTCGACCCCCACAAATTTTATAGTGCTAAGAAAGTTCTTTGAATTCATATTCTAATATATCAAGTTCCCCTTATTTTTATCTACCTTCCTGCCCAAATAGGTGTACAACTTCATGTTCTGGAGTGGAATTAATTGCCTAGCATTTTTAATTGTATCTCATCAGATGGTCATGGTAAAACAGGCAGTTACTTTTGAATGTAGTTGATTTTATATTTCAGTTAGAAATATTAATTTATTTGCTTCACTGTTTTCAATTGTTAGTGTAGTGTGCACCTGGTGAGGTACAGTGAATTATAGTAGTGTTGTGCAGTTTTTAATGTCTTCTTTGTTCAAATATCAAACTGGAGAGGAAAGTTGAAGGCAAGAGGTAGACAATAACATAATTAGAAGGACAACATTGAGATGTGGACAAATAGCAGAATGAGAGAGTAAAACCAAGACAAGAGACACAGAGAGTTTGAGATTCATTGCAGCTAATCTTAATTGTGGAGAGGGCACCTAATTGATTGTTCAGAATTAAAATTGGCAAACATTGTTTTGATTTACTTGTTGTCCTTATCGACATCCTAGCACATCGGTCCGACCTGTTCATGCTACGTCCTCGGATGCAGCAGCCATCTTAGTGTCTTCATGCTCAGTTTACCCACTAAGAGATGATTGGAATATCTTCTTTCTTTGCCGGGCACCTGGTTTCTGCATGCTTGGCCTCGTTTAATACCCATTTCCCCCCGTGTGAGTTCCGGGGCCCCATTGTGGGGAAAACAAGAATAGACCCACTGCCTCCCCAAAAGCATGTCGTAAGAGTCGACTAATTGGGAAGCTTCCTTTGAAGTCGGAGTGCATCTGCCGGAGAGGCAAGGAACCAACAGTCTGTATTCAAGAGAATGAGATCTGTAAAACTGATGCACACGCAACACTCAGGTTCTGGAGCAGGACTGCAGTTCAGTAGTGGACGAGCAACCAGAACCTTCCGCCAGAGTTTACAGCTGGTGAACGTGAAGAAGAAAAAGATACCCATTTCTAGCAGGCAGGTAATTGTCTCTGACTTCTTTTTTCTCAGCATCTCTAGAATTGCAGTGCATTCACTATGTTTGCTCTGACCATACTTCTTCCTCCACCAGCCACTGCAGATGCAACCAGTCTGTCAGCTCTTTTTATTTCCTTTCACCGCAGGTTGAATCCCCAATATAGATATTTTTTTCTGGGGGCAACGTAAAAATAAAAATCCTGACCTGCAGTCTTTGGTGACTGTATCAGCCACGCAGCCTGAAACCCTAAGGCTCAGGAACAAATTTTTCTACACCACCCTAAAAAGTGATAAATCCAGGCAATAAAGAGGGTTTGTTCCCTGTTGTTCTACCACATGTTGTATTTCACTTTGTGTCATCTGATGTTATATCACCTGCCGTTGTATATTCTTGTTCTGTTGCTTATTTTTTTTACCTTGAAGTTAAGTCACCTTTTTTTTTTTGAACACCCCTTGTTAGGTTTGTGAACCACGTCACTGAGAAGGGTCAGACAAAAGCCGTGGCGCAGCCTGTTCACCTTGTGGCCAGAGAGGTGAGAACATACAGTAAACCATTGTGGACATAGGCAGTTGAGAGTCCTTCGTTATAGATTAACCTGACATGTTTTTTCATGAACATATTATTGGTGTTAATGTTGTAAAAATGTGTGCAAAAAACATGTGGATGACTCAGTTTAGCTCTCCAGGGAATTTTAAACATTTTTTTTTTGGGTCATGTTTACTCATTGTTATCAAGTATATATGTGGTAACTGTGAGTTGTGATTGTTAAACTACACATGTGATAAATGTACATTTAGTGTTATATAAGTACATGATGTGAAAAAATATAGGTGTGATATTGGATGTCTTCGAGTGGGTTATAAGGCCCCATTTGGTGGTTTAGGGGGGGGGGGGAGGGGGTAGACCGGCTGTCCCCCTAATAAGTATTCTGTGAAAGGTAACTAATTAGAGGTGTTGTCTTCTAAGCTTGCGGCTAGGAACCATCCGCTTGCATATAAATAAGCTAGACCTGTAAATTGGAGGTACACTCAAAACTAAAGTTCTGGAACAAGACCACAGTCCACATGTGTATGAACAAAACAAAAACAGAAAAACTGTCCACTGAATTTGACAGCCAGTTATTGCTATGAAGGAGAATACATTTACCATATCTATCAGTAAATCAAAGCTTTTCTTTCATTGCTGTGAAATTAGTTTTTGGTCTTTTCGTCAGTTTGGTATCCCTGAATGGATTGTACGACTCCGCCATGATGCCACACACAGCAGCATGCCCTCTCTGGGTGCTTTAGTCACAGGAAGCAAATGGGCAATTCACTATCTGAAGGAGCACTTCTGGAAGCATCAGACGCTGGAAAGTGTTGCAGACGACAAAGATGTTGAGTTCTCACCCAAAGGAGCTAAAATGTCCACCATCAGACAAACTTTTTATGATTTTCAGAAAGTTCGTTATCAGGTAACTATCTTTATTTCTGGAATATTCATTGTGGAGCCCATATGCCCTCTTGTGTTGTCAGTATGGCTAATTGAATGTGCAGATATGTGGGCAGTTTGTTAAAGCCCTAAGTTTTCTTTGTTTCAGGGCTAGACACGGTTTGCTAACAGTTTCTGATACTGGAACTTGCACAACATGGTTCTGTTGACCAGCTACTGTTGAGTGTTTGGTACAACACTGTGACCTGTGAATTTCATGTGGAATGCTTCTGTGTCTGTGTCCACAATAGTTTGTTAAGAACTGCATAATTGTGCTGCTTTCTTCCGCAGTGAATTGCAACTCTAGTAAGCGACAGTTGGTGTTGACACTCTGGTGGCTGCTATTTTATTCATGTCCTGATTGCTGGTCTTATCTGTTTCCCTTTTCACAGGGTCCCCGACAAGCATTTTATGTGGTTTTAACTGGCACTAGAACAGAACAGATAAAGTAACCTCCTGCCTTGATCTTGAGTTGAACTACGACTACAACTAACATGCACTAAATTATTTAGCTTCAACTCTGTCTGCCTTTTTAGAGAGAGCGCCTTGGGACCCTATACTGTGCCAGACTTACACTAAAAGAGGAGAGGGGCCTAGAGAAAGAGGTGAACCAATAACATCGTGGAAAGATAACATTAGAGAAAACAGCAGCACAGTGTGTCTGGGGTTGAAATGGCCAGAATAGAAAGAAGCAGAATCTTATATCTCCATTGACACAGGAAGCTGTAAAAGAGAAAGTCAAGAAGAAGAATACTTTGTGTACAGATATAATTGTTGACATTGAAGTTGTTTCATTGCAGGAGCTGAATGCAGATGACCAAGAAAAAGAGGAATGCAGTGTCAGAATTAGCAGTACAATGAAGATACTTCAGAAATACCTGACACAGAACAGGTAACAGTCTAGATCACTGTGTTCCTATGTCTTATTGCCAAATTACTATCATCATGTCATTAAATCAGTCATGGGAGTCTTCCTCATGTGGTTTCCAGAGCTCTATTTTGGTGGATTTAGAGATTTAAGATTGGCTGAAATTTGATGTTTGGGGCTGAAAGGCACAGATATCACATGGCCTAGTTGTAAACCTAACCCAACATGCCAACCACCCTTTTATAGGTGAATTTAAAAGAGTAAATTATAGTGATGCAACTTGATATGAGACTAAACTCTAGCAAATGTGAAGTTTTCATGTGTGATTGATGTTTTCATTGTTGTGTTTTGTGTCAGTATATCTGGGGAGAAGGGTAGGAATTGTACTGTTTTTCCCCTGAAACTAAACCAAGCATTATTTTTTTTCTCATGATGCGTGCAATATTAGACCCAACCTAAATATAAGTCCTAGTTAAAATAGTCAGACAGATTTTGAAACACTCTGTGGACATATTGAAGTAAAATGTTCACAGAGAAGATGAAATGATTGCATTAGATGTACTAGATGTAATAGCCTGGTCAGTGAAACAGTAGTTTATGACAACAAAGTCTAGAGATGACCACTGATGCCTGAGTCTTTAATGTCCAGTGATGACCACAGATGCCTCAGCCTCATAGTATCTTTAATGTCCAGTGATGATCACTGATGCCTCTACCTTTTGTTCACAGAGAAGATGAAATGATTGCATTAGATGTACTAGATGTAATAGCCTGGTCAGTGAAACAGTAGTTTATGAAAAAAAAAGTCTAGAGATGACCACTGATGCCTCTGCTTCATAGTGTTTGTAATGTCCAGTGATGACCACTGGTGCTTCAGTCTCACAGAGTCTGTAATGTCCAGAGATGACTACTGATGCCTCTGCCTCATAGTGTCTGTAATGTCCAGTGATGACCACTGATGCCTCAGCCTCATAGTGTCTATAATGTCCAGTGATGACCACAGATGCCTCAGCCTCATAGTATCTTTAATGTCCAGTGATGATCACTGATGCCTCTGCCTTTTGTCCACAGGTTGAGGTTCATCAAATGTTTCCTGGAGGATGGCATACTAATCTCCACTGAGGAGCAGCTAGTGGCATTTGGTGTCAGTGCTGATGGTAACAATCTTGTTTTCATTAGTCCAGGTTTCTGTGATTTCTGTTATTTCTTCACCACTCTCTTTCATGTTTCTTGCTTCATTGCAAAGTCATGGGGGAGAAGGATGACTTAGGAGAGCTTGTATACATTACCATATCCAGCATAAAAAGAAAATGGTGGGGAAACATATCGTTTATCATTTATTCTATCATCTATACTGTCTGCATTCACATCTAATATTAACATGAAATCAATCCATACAGATCTGATGTCTCAACTTCCTCCCACAATTCCTCTGGAAATTGCAGAGTTCTGGAGGCCGCTACTGAAAACATTAAACAGTTCTGGTGCCCTTCCCCTTCTTGTGCAGACAGCTGTGTTCTCTGTGACATCAGGAGAAGGCATCCGCAACTACCAGCTTGTTGCCTGGGTGGCCTATTTCTTATCCTTGCAGTCAGGTGGGTTATGTCTTAACGTGTCACTGATTTTCCAATTGTTATATCTAGGGTTCCAATCCATGTTAAGTGGAATCCCCCCCCCCCCACCACCCCCCCCTCCCCCAATGACCTTGGCTGCCAGGGCGACTTATTGTTGACATCATCACCCATCGCCTGCTGATGGATCTGGAGTGAACAGGGTTTTTTACTTTACTATTATTATCATGTTCATTCCTTCATTTTTGTTTCAGTTTGCAGTAGCTGTTCCCATTCTAATTTTTTACAATTCCCATATAGTTCTTTTCAAGGAATATGTTTATATTACTTCTCCTTCTTTGCGTTCCCCAGCCTTAAAACTCCACATAAAGTTCTGGATGTTTGTCCACATCCAGACTGTCTTGCTTCGAACCTGAGTGTCGCATGCACATCCGTTTCACACATCTGGCTTATTTGTATGCACTCTTGGTTCCTTGCCTCTGGCAGATGTGCTCCCACTTCGAAGGATGCCCCCAATTAGTCGACTCTTACGACATGCTTCTTGAGGAGGCAGTGAGACTATTCTTTTTTTCCCTCTATCCCACACAGGGAATACTGTTGTACAACAGTGAGTAATGGAAAATAAAGGAATTACACATAAACTAGAGGCTTTTCAGAATGAATATCAGGAGAAGAATCCTGTGAATATTTTGGCCAAACGAGATCACAGTCGAAGAACTGAGGAGGAAAACAAAATGCTAATCACTGGCAAGCATTATCAAAGGATGGAAGTGAAGCTGGCTTGGACGCTTCATGACATTTGTCAAGGACAGCTCTCTAGAAGACAAAGATAGAAAAGGGAGACTTGGGCAACCCAAGAAAACCGAAGGACAGTAGAAAGGGGGATGAAGGAATGTAAACTGACTTGATATGAGCAGTAATAAGACAAGATGGCATTTTATTGGGCACATCTTGAGGAGAAACGAACAAAGAAACACCAAAAAGGCACTTAAATGGGAAACAAATGGATTAAATCAGTGAGGACAAACCCACACAAAAAAAAAACCCAAAGGCAAATACTGATGAGAGAAAGGTGCTGGATTGGATTCCATGCATAATATTGAAACAGTTGCACAGGATTGAAAAGAATAGAGGGATAATATGGGAACTATATGTGACAAATAATGGCACTAAAGGATGATAATGATAAAACTGACATAGGATATCGTTGGCAGAAAAGCAGCATTGAAGATGACGTGTTATTGCCTCATATGTTATTAATATCATGGAAAGGATGTAGATATAGTTCTTCACATAACTCCCTCATTTAGGGGCTGGTGCTAGAAATTCTTCTGTATTTGTTAGTCCATGCTGTGTGTCGTTGGTAGTCACGTCTATCCACAACCTCCTGTCTCCTGTACTTTCGATCAGTTCTGGCACAGCATGAACTTAAACATATCAGCTTGTTTAAGTATTGACCCATGTCGCAGTTTGGTGTTTCTAATTTCTTTGCGGCCGAAACGGCAGATTGCATCTGTGCACCCCCTCCCCTCCCCCCCAACCCTTTGTTGAGCTTCCAGCTCATTATATGTTAGTAAATTCATGGTTGTATTTTTGTTGTTGTCCATACTTGATATGAATGAGTTTAGAGGCCTCATGTTTGGAGGAAAAAGTGTAGACCTGTCCTCACCCCAGCCCAGCTAGCATATCGTAAGAGGCGGAATTCACAGGTGTTTCTTTCTGTCAGAGTGCATCTGCCTGGGAAGCGTGAAACATACAGTCTGCATACAAATAAGACAGATCTGTAAAACGGAAATAACACTAAATTCATGTTCTGGAACAAGACCAAAGTCCAGAAGTGGACAAACAACCAGAACTTTCTGCCTGTTTACAACTGATAAATACAAAGAAGAAGATATGAATCATTGTGCCTTGCTGTTGTGTGCATAGTCTTTTCTTAAGCTGATCTTTTTCCTATCCCCTTGTTCTTATTCTTTATACCGAGCCTGTTTTTCTTGTTTTTTTTCCTTTTCCATTTCTGTAAATATGTTTCTTCTCACATGTAGAGAAAAAAAGTTAATGTTGATTCTTCCATGCTCAGATCCCAACAACAAGCATAAAAAGAAAAGAAAAAGGAAACAAGAAGTCATGTTCAAGATAACAACTCCGCTACCACTGAAAACCATGTTGTCAGCCTGCCTGCAGAATGTCAACCTGCTCTCAGCATACCTCTTGAAGTAGTAAGTATTTTATGTGACGTCTTGTATTCATCTGTACATTAATGTATCATCTCTTTCATGTGACGTCTTGTATTCATCTTCACATTAATGTATCATCTCTTTCATGTGACGTCTTGTATTCACCTGTACATTAATATATCATCTCTTTCATGTGACATCTTGTATTCATCTTCACATTAATGTATCATCTCTTTCATGTGACGTCTTGTATTCATCTGTACATTAATGTATCATCTCTTTCATGTGATGTCTTGTATTCATCTTCACATTAATGTATCATCTCTTTCATGTGACGTCTTGTATTCATCTGTACATTAATGTATCATCTCTTTCATGTGACGTCTTGTAATCATCTTCACATTCATGTATCATCTCTTTCATGTGACGTCTTGTATTCATCTGTACATTAATGTATCATCTCTTTCATGTGACGTCTTGTATTCATCTGTACATTAATGTATCATCTCTTTCATGTGACGTCTTGTATTCATCTCACAATAATGTGTCATCTCTTTCATGTGACGTCTTGTATTCTGTACATTAATGTATCATTCCTTTCATGTGACGTCTTGTATTCATCTGTACATTAATGTATCTTCTCTTTCATGTGACGTCTTGTATTCATCTGTACATTAATGTATCTTCTCTTTCATGTGACGTCTTGTATTCATCTGTACATTAATAAATCATCTTTCATGTGATGTCTTGTATTCATCTGTACATTAATGTATCATCTCTTTCATATGACATCTTGTATTCTAAAAATATGTATGCACAGTAATTATCCATCAGTGAAATGCATAAACATTTTCGTATAGGCTACTTGTTTTAAAAAAGGTCATCATTTTATGACATATTCCGCCTTATTTAGATTGAATCACGGTAGTTATGTGTTGAATGACGGTTATGAAAAGATGATGTAAACAGCATTCCGCTAGTTTTAAAACGTTACCGGGCACATTCGACAACACAATATGACACATGCACGTTTGTATTTTACCTATGGGATACCCTGAAAGGTGTCGTATGTCGCAGAAAACTGGTCACATTGGCATTTCTTCAGCAAGAAATTATAAGTGCATGTGCAGCAATCACACTGGAGACTTTGGATAATGTAACCTGAGCAGTAATAAGTGTCTGGAGGCTATGGGGATCATTTTGAGCACCTGTTGTCACTTCATAAATCACATGTAACTTGTATGCGTATCTTTGTATCGGAATACGTTTGTTATAAAAATGTTTATACAGGTTGTTATTTTAAAAACTCTGTGCAGCACATTTCTACTGTAATGTATTCAAAGACTGCAAATAACATACATGTAGATACATTTCGCTGCTGTGTTAACATTTTAATGGCTAACTTTGTATATATCATTTCTTTCATGTGAAGTCTTGTGCAATAATATATCATCTTTCATATGGTGGCTTAATTTCACTAGTACATTATTATGTTGTCTTTTCTTTTTTGTGAAATTCTGTGTTTATCTGTGGCGTTGAGTTGAGTCAAGAATTGACATAACAGCACTTGGGGCATTCCCATGTGTGTTCTGTCTTCTTCTTCAGCAGCCAATGCAGAGTTCCAATTCTTCTGACTTCGTTACTTGTTCCCAAAGACCTTGACCACATATGCCTAGTCAGGTATCAATTCAACCACCAGTTGGTGCAGATCCAGCCAGTCTGTCTGCCTGTTCATTCCCCACAACGCCAGAATTTCCTAGAGAAAAGATCTAAAGTATGCTCACTACCCGTGACAATCCCAGTGAAGCTTGCCACTCTGCTCAAAGCAACCCTGTCTTCACCTTTCTTAGCATGCTTTCAGAGTGTTACAATTATGACAGGTGTATCCGGAAAGCTGCAGTGACCACCTTCACCTCCGTTTTCATGCTAGATGTTGTGGTATTGCATGCTAGGCTGTCAGGCACTGAAGATTTTCCACTGGCTTTCGCTACAAACTCCCAGGCACTTCTCTTCCCTCTCAACACAGAACCATCTGTAGACAAACTTGCCACCTCCTGCATGTGACATCTCATAATCACATGTACTGTAGTAAATCCTGTCTTGCGATGTACATCCACAGCCTGGCTGACAAAGAAAGTCTGGGGACAGAGAACTATAACAAGTTGATGAAATTATTGGAAGTTCACTCGCAGGCAACAGGCAAGCAGGCGTCCAGTGACGAGCTAGACTCAGACACAGTCTACACAGTGGAAGGTGAGTCACTGTTTGTGAATGGTTTCTTCTCTGAAGTGATCTCTCGTTTTCTGGGCAGGTGTCCAGTGATGAGCTAGACTCATACATAGTATAAACAGTGGAAGATGAGTCACTCTTTATGGGTGTTTTTTTTCCCCGTAGTGATCTCTTGTTGTCTGGGCAGGTGTCCAGTGATGAGCTAGACTCATACACAGTATAAACAGTGGAAGATGAGTCACTCTTTATGGGTGTTTTCTTCCCTGAAGTGATCTCTTGTTGTCTAAACAAGTGTCCAGTGATGAGCTAGACTCCTACACAGTATAAACAGTGAAAGATGAGTCACTCTGTATGGGTGTTTTCTTTCCTGAAGTGATCTCTTGTTGTCTAGGCAGGTGTCCAGTGATGAGCTAGACTCAGGCAGTCTACTCAGTGGAGAATAAGTCACTGTCTGTGACTGTTGTCTTCTCTAAATTATCTCTTTTTGACTGGCCAGTTGCTCCTATTCAGCTCCCTCGTGAAGTTTTTTAATTACTCTGTTTTCTGCTGTTCTTTCTGCTTGCCCCAACCAATGTAGTATATTTGCTCTCATGATGCCAGTAAGTAGTGGTTATGAATTTTGTTGTTGCTTCTCTCTCCATTCTCTGCAGTTTGCATCTTTGATGGGTCCAAAGATTCATCTTTAGACCCCGATCTCAAACATCTGTAATAAGGCTTTGTTTTCATTTAGGTGTACTCCAGGTTTTCAGAGCCATACAGGAGAACTGGTCTTATCAGGTCCATAAAGGACAACAGGTCTTATCAATGTTTTAAATATTGTGATTTTTGTTACGAGTTAAGCATTTAATTCTTAACTGATGTATTGATGTTTCCATTCTTCTGATGTTCTGTTATCTATCACCTGCAGATATCAAGCAGGCTCGAGAGAAACACATCCCATCCCAAGAAATTACCTCCAGCACAGTACACAACATACAGAACAACATATGTGGTAACAACATATGTTGGAAAATTTGTACAGGTAATTGTGTCTACTAGTAGATTCACAGAGTGTTTGTGTGTGTGTGTGTGTGTGTGTGTGTGTGTGTGTGGGGGGGGGGGGAGATAACCTAGTGTTAATTAGTTGCAGTTCCAGCTTCATGGCAACTGATACCCCATAATTACTTTGTTCCTCTGCCAATAAAAACTACACAGAATATCTGTCACTATTTTCTGTTTAAAAATATAAATTGAAAGCCAGCAATATATTCATGATATGATTGAATAAAGCCCATGCCAGAACTGCAATCACAAATATTCAACTTGTCATTGATGTAAGCAGCAGCTACAACATTTCAGCAGTTGGTTAAGCAGAATTGTATAAGGCTACTACCAGTTCTGTGGTAAAAAGCCATGCATCATTTTCTGCCTGATGTGCTTTTGATTGTCTTGCGTGTTTCACTATTTCGTGCATGTAATCATGCAAGGGAAGTGATTAGCTTATGTGCTTGTCAGTCTTGTCTCTCTCTCTCTCTCTGTGACTATTTGGTGTCTGCATTTGCATGCACCTTCTTCATTCACTTTTAAAAGAACGGTTGGCAGGTTGTATTGTCTTTTACAGCTAAGCTGCAGTATCTGCCAAAGCCCAGCATATCCCATTTCAGCATACCCCTAATTAGTTGCTTTTTATGATATACTTGTTTGTGTGGCAGTGGGTCTATTCTGTTTTCCCTTAAAATGAGGTCCTAGGACGCATGTGTGCATCAGACAACTAAGATTGGATAGTAGTGAGACTGCACTTGTAATTTCTGATTTGCCTTCTTGTCATTGAAATCCTTACCACACTTGTCCCTGCTTCAGTTGAGAAGTGACTTGAAAGTGGTGGTTGTTGGTTATCTTATTAACCATAGATGCTCAGATTGTGGTTGCTAGAAATAGCTGTGTTAATGATTTCTTCTCAAACCCCCCCCCCCCCCCCCCCCCCCCCCCCCCCCCCCCCCCCGTCACCTCACTGAAGCGTTGATAGATGCAAGGACTCTGTGTGCTCTTTCTAATGTGTTGTATAAGTTGGTCTTCATGTCTTTCGCCCCTTAACAATCTTTAAAAAAAAAGTGATTATTCTGTAAAATTCCACCCTATAAGACTAGAAGAAGATGCAGAAGAAATTTGAGTCTTGATCAGTCTTATACATATTCAGGGAGTTGAACCCTTAGACCAGTGTTTCCCAAATTTTTCTTGGTCACTATGCCTTTTTTCAATTAAATTGTTTCCACGGATCTCTAACCTAAGTAAAAGTATGACTATTCGTGTCTTGGTTAAATTAATTATGAAGCTTTTACAATAAATCGCAGCACCCCTGTGAAGAGGTCGCGGCTCTCTGGAGTGCCGTGCCGCAGTTTGGGAATCACTGCCTTACGACTACTGAGAAGATAGGTAGGCATAAAGTCCTCTGCTTCTCTGATGACATCACAACACTGAAATAAAAGATTGGGCTCTCCTGTCAAATCTGGACGAAGAATAAAAAGCCTTGGACGACTTAGTCAGAGTTCTCTCCCTTGGCCGCACTGCAAACAGTGATCGGAAAAGCCAACGAAACAAACGACACACTTACCTATCATCATACGGTTGCGTGTAGGGCTGCGTACGGTTGCGTGAGGCATCGTGAAGCGATGCATGGTCATCATATGGTTGCGTGCAGGGTTGCGTACGGTTGCGTGAGGCATCGTGAATGGTTGTGTAGTCATCATGCGGTTGTTGGGTTAGAGTTAGGGGTAGGGTTAGGGTTAGGGTTAGATTTGAAAATTTTGACGTAGGGTTTCGAAATACTGGAAGACAATCTGATGTTTGTGGGCGTGGCGCCACTGAAATTCTGCTAAATATGACGCCAATAGTGTGCGGCTGGTGCCCAATAGTTGGCGAATTGTGCGTTTGACCAGCATCCAGAGGCCCTCAATTGTTTGTGTGTGTATGTGACTGTGTACGGCGTAGACGAAGTTGGTCTGGTGGACTACTACCTCGTGCAGATAGATGCCATGCCGTAAGTTTGCCACGTTGCTGTAGCGTCGCCAAGCGTCAGTCACGATAGTCGTTCACGGCAACTAAGTCGTGCGTCGGAAGAACGATGTTAGTTATGTGAGTGCGTCTAACTGCCATGTTGCATGTGTCGTTTGTTTCGTTGGCTTTTCCGATCACTGTTTGGAGTGCGGCCAAGGGAGAGAACTCTGACTAAGTCGTCCAAGGCTTTTTATTCTTCGTCCGGATTTGACAGGAGTACCAAAGATTGTTTGACATTTTTTCCAGTCACTAAATTATCAAACGGAAACGCATCTTTATGAAACTTTATCCTAAGAAACTAGAGGAAGAGAAGAAGTTGGAAAAATGTAAAGTCTTAACCAGTTTTTAAAAATATCCAGGAATTGAACCCCTAGACCACCAAGCAGACAGGCAAGTGTGACATCCACAGCTTCATCACTGCTGTCAAATCACTAAAATAGTTCATATTCATTTTTATTATTCATTTTGTGAATGTGTGTGTGCAAAATTTGGTTTTTAAGTAAGGGAGTTAATTATTAAATACAAATAGAGCGAAGAATTAACTGCTTTCCTTCGCATTGACCATGATAAATGTTGATTTGTTAACTTAGGTACAGGAAGCACAGTGAAGAGTGAAATTATTATGAGGCAACAAGGGCATCACAATTTTCTTTTTAATGTGATTATTTTAACCCCTTGTAATATCTTAGTTAAATATTTTAGGGTATATATAGTCATACCCACCATGTCTACACACTGCAGTTGCAGCCAGTACCAAAGCTTCATCACCCTCAAGAGATGCAATTTGTTTAAAGCCCCACCCTGAATATAGCCGGGGCTTAGATATGGCCTAACGGCTGAAAGGGGTTTCTGGGACCTCTCCACAGGTGATCCTCATCCACATGGTAGCACTTTGTGTCACCTGGTGTTTTATCGCCAGGAAAACAAGAATAGACCCACTGTCTCCCCAACTCACGTAAGGTAAGAGTCGACAAATTGGTGGCTTCCTTTGAAGTCGGAGTGCATCTGCCTGAGAGGCAAGGGACCAACAGTCTGTATACAAGTAAGCAAAATCTGTAAAATGAATGTGCACGCAACACTGAGACTCTGGAACAAGACTAAAGTCCAGAGGTGGACGACAACGAGAACTTTACGGCTAGTGAACGCGAAGAAGAAAAAGAAAGGCATAGTAACTACTGCCCAAAGGCTTTATGCCATCAAAAACCCATAAATGTAGGAAGAATGGCTTTTTCTGGGTGACAGTGCAAATACTTCTGAGCTCAACAGCCATGCTTGACATAGTCTTACTATCTTTATGATAGTGTAAAGGTTAAAGATCTCTTCTTCTTCTTCGCGTTCACCAGCTGTACACTCTGGCGGAAAGTTCTGGTTGCTCGTCCACTACTGAACTGCAGTCCAGCTCCAGAACCTGAGTGTTGCGTGTGCATCAGTTTTACAGATCTCATTCTCTTGAATACAGACTGTTGGTTCCTTGCCTCTCCGGCAGATGCACTCCGACTTCAAAGGAAGCTCTCCAATTAGTCGACTCTTACGACATGCTTCTGGGGAGGCAGTGGGTCTATTCTTGTCTTCCCCACAATGGGACCCGGAACCCACACAGGGGAAAGGTTAAAGATGAGAGGATTGACTTCATTGGACTGGTTTTTATCCTATATGGCTAGCCACCTGCCAAAAACGTCATACAAAGCACAAAATTCTTAGCTCAGGCGAAGATCCCTAGGTATCTGTAAAAACTGCACTTGCAGTGTGAAATGAACCTCAACCTTCAGAGTGCAAGGCAGACTGCTTGACCACTCTGCTATGGTTATGATAGCATTTGATGTGTATGTCATTTCATTTTTTGCTTCTTTTTTTTTCTCCAAGACATAGTGGACTGGGCATCAGTGCCTCTAGGAACACTTCCAAACATCTCAGATGAAGATGATAGTGGCGATGATGAAGATGCCGATCCAGATATGAGTGCAGACACAGCTAAGAGTACTGGAAAGGAGCCCTCACACAGTAGTGATGATAATGATGGCGACTATGTGACAAGCCGAAGGAAAACCTCCAGGAAGAGGCGAACCAGTGATGGTGATGATGATGAAGACAGTGATGACAGTGGCAGCACCAGCCCTAAGAGATCTTTGCTGACAGTGACAGATTCAAGGTTGTTGTAGATTTGAGGCTGTTTAAGTAGCCAGATTGTTAGAGTAGCTAGGTTGTTAAAAATAAAAAAAGCCAGCTTGGTTGTCAGAGAGGTTTTCTTCTTAGCATTCAACAGCTGTAAGCTCTGGCGGAATGTTCTAGTTTGTCCACTTCTGGGCTTTGATCTTGTTACATAACTTGAGTTTTGTGTGCATACATAACTTGAGTTTTGTGTGCATATCCATTTTACATATCTGGCTTATTTGTATGTAAACTGTTGGTTCCTCACCTCTCAGGCGATTGCACTCTGACTCCAAAGGAAAGAATATTATTATTCAAATGAACTGACATGCTTTTTGGGCTAAAGGAGGTCTGCTCGCACATACACACACACAAACACACACTTACAAAAACACACACACCCTTTCCCTTTTCCTTTTCTGTTTTGGGCACCGAAACCCACACAAGAAGGCAGAGGTCTGAATGCAACCTGGTGGGTACCCCCCATCCCACTCCTGCTTTTCAGTATCAGAGTACAGTTAAATTAGTTAGAAATCAGCTCATCCTGCATTGATCAAAAGTGTTAACCTCCACCAAGTGTTCTGAGTGTCAGTGGTGTTTAAGAGAGTACACAAATTCTATTTTATGAGGTGGGAGAATGTCAGCGCTTAAAATGTGACTAGATCAGGTTGGCTGTTCTGTAAGCATGTGTGATGGTAGGGAGGTGTACATATGTTGAATTAAGAATCAACATCATAGCACTTAAGACACTCCTGTATGTGCTCCGTCCCCTTTTTCAGCAGCAAGTGAAGAAATTTCAATTCTGATGTCACCAGTAACTGTCTGTCTGTATATTCGTCTTGGCCTTCCCTTGAGTTTTGAACGATGGCCAGATCCCCTGGTAACTGCTCACAGCGGCATTCTCCTCAGACCGTAATGCTCTCTCTGTGCCTGCGAACAGTACAGATGTAGGGGAGCTATAAATTGGTTAATCAAATAGTTGTGTAAGGTAGGTTGTGAGCATGTCTGTGAGGATGTAGTTGGAGGATATAAGCGTGTAGGTGAAGTATGGAGTTGTGTTAGTGTAGGCATGTAGATAAGGTGTGGAGTTAAAAAGGATTTTGATTTGATTTGATTCAAGAACCGGCATTACAGCACTCGGGGCATTCCCATAAGTGCTCCGTCCCCCATCTTCAGCAGCCAGCGAAGAGTTCCAATACTAATGGTGCCAGTAGCTTTCTGATTAAACGTCCGTCTTGCCTTTCCTCTGAGCCTTGAGCTTCTGCCAGAACCTCTCGTCACCCCCAACTGCATCAATCTCACCAGACTGTGCCTTCATGCTTGCCCCCTTGCAAACTCCCCACCTTATCTACATGCCTACACTAACACAACTCCATACTTCACCTACACGCTTATGTATGGAGTTGTGTTAGTGTAGGAATGTAGGTAAGGTGTGAAGTTGCAAGGATATAAGCGTGTAGGTGAAGTATGGAGTTGTGTTAGTGTAGGTATGTAGGTAAGGTGTGAAGTTGCAAGGATATAAGCGTGTAGGTGAAGTATGGAGTTGTGTTAGTGTAGGTATGTAGGTAAGGTGTGGAGTTGCAAGGATATAAGTGTGTAGGTGAAGTATGGAGTTGTTTTAGTGTAGGTATGTAGGTAAGGTGTGAAGTTGCAAGGATATAAGCGTGTAGGTGAAGTATTGAGTTGTGTTAGTGTAGGCATGTAGATAAGGTGGGGAGTTTGCAAGGGGGCAAGCATGAAGGTGTGGCTGTGTGTGGAATTGCAGGCTTGTAATTTAGGAGGTGCGTTAAGGAATTGTCAGGTTGTAAGTGTGTAGGTGAGGTATAAATTGTATAGTGGTTTCCCTGTGTTGGTTCTGGGACCCCATTGTGAGGGCGTGGGGAAATAGGCTAACTGCCTCCATAACAAGTGTGTCGTTAGAGTTGACTAACTAGGGGTTTACTTTGAAGTTGGAGTGCATCTGCCTGAAAGGCAATGAACCAGCAGTCTGCATGCAAATAAGCATCTGTAAAATGAATGTTTGTGCAATACTCAACTTCTGGAACAAGAGACCAGAAGTGGACAAACAGCCAGAACGTTCGGCCCGAGTTTACAGTTGGTGAACGCGAAGAAGTATAGTAGTGTAGGCATGTGAGACCAGTACTGATTGTACAGTGGCATAGGCATGTGGGTGAGGTTGAAATCTTGTTAATTTGTAAGCTTGTACATAAGGGGAATGGATCCCTTAACAACTGTAGCATGTAGAGTGGTGGTGAGGCAGGACCTGCTACAGTAGTTTATATTTGTACGTACCATTAGTGCCACAGCAGGAAGTGTGTGTATATATTTTAATCAAATTACAATTCAATGAGAAATAAATGAAATATGTGTGACATTGCAAACTGTTTGTTTATTATGTGAAATAACCAGATATCGCTGAAACAGTCTCTCTTTTTTATTTATGTCTTTCCCCCCCTCCACCCTCTCTCTGTGTGCAGAGATATGATGGTTGGGGGGGGGGGGGCATATTTAGTACGAGTAGCAAGACCTTTTGTTTCTGAGAGGCAACAGATTGAGAACAGTAACTGGGATCCCCCGTGTGGGTTCCGGGGCCCCATTGTGGGGAAAACAAGAATAGACACACTGCCTCCCCAAAAGCATGTCGTAAGAGTCGACTAATTGGGAAGCTTCCTTTGAAGTCGGAGTGCATCTGCCGGAGAGGCAAGGAACCAACAGTCTGTATTCAAGAGAATGAGATCTGTAAAACTGATGCACACGCAACACTCAGGTTCTGGAGCAGGACTGCAGTTCAGTAGTGGACGAGCAACCAGAACCTTCCGCCAGAGTTTACAGCTGGTGAACGTGAAGAAGAAGAAGAAGTAACTGGGATGTTAAAATAGATTGGTAATATGTAGGCCAGACTAGATTCTCTCATGGCCAGTTGTGAGTGAGACATCTCAGTGCACACAAGACAACAGAAGGAGACAAAACATGCATGTGAAGAGCCAGTCAAGGTTGATCACAATCACTCTCCAAAATGTGATACCAGTGCCTTTGTTGCAATGTTCTTCTGTGTTAAAACTCAAATTATGGAACAAGACTGAAGTCCTGAGCAACCAGAACTTTCTGCCAAAGGCAGTGAACAGTAAGAAGAAAAAGAAGAAGAAAAATATCCAAAGGTACGCTAAAAGTTATGTTGATATTATTTCACAATCTGGACAATATTGAGTTTCATTGACATAATTAGGGTATCTCTCTTGAATATGTGTGCTTGTGTTATCTTCTACTTATAATCCATGGCATTGGTCATCAATCCATAACCTTCTGTCTCGCGTACTTTCAATAAATTCTGATACAAATGTTCCTCCATGCCATGATGTCAAATTGTCCAGTGTCTTGTCTCTCGGTTTCTCTCCGCCCTTTTTTTTCTCCTTCAGCTAACCCACCATCAAGTTTTCTCCTTCTCATGACATGACCAAAGAATGTAGATTGTCTACTTCTGATGTGGGCAATCCATTCTCTTTATGAGTCAGTGTCTTCATTACTATTTTTAACTATCTTTCCATGGTATTTTTTTATCATTTGTCCATAAAACCACATCTCCACTGCTTCCACATTGTTGGCATTGACAAACTATTATTTCTTCTTCTTCTTTGCATTCACCAGCTGTTAACTCAGGTGGACAGTTATGTTTTTCCACTTCTAGACTTTTGTCTTGTTCCCGAATTAGTGTTGCATGCACATGTGTTTTACATATCTGGCTTATTTGTATGCAGACTGTTGGTTTCTTGCCTCTCAGACAGATGTACTCTGACTTCAAAGAAAACCCCAGTTAGTCGAATCTTACTACATGCCTCTTAGGGAGGCAGTGGGTCTATTTTTGTTTATCCCACAATGAGGCCCCGGAACCCACACAGGGAAAGCTCATATTTGAGAATATCTATGAACAGTTAATGAACTAGTGTAGCACAACATCAGTAATACTTCTTCTTCTTCTTCTTTCGTTCGCATATCAGTAATACTAATGAAAAACATTTTTTTTTAAATTCTTATATCCCACTTGGGCTGGTGGCTTCAGATGGAGGAGCAAATTGGGGAAAATACTAGCCTTACACTTAGACTAGGAAATGGAAGCTGAAAACGATATTATGGCAGGGCGTAGTTGGCAGCTTGTTTAGGAGGGAGGCTCAGAAAGGGCACTGCTGTTCTGATCCAACAGTTTCAGCTGCTAATTACAGTGCTAAATGTCCTTTGGAGTTAACAAAGTAGGCTGAGCGAGGGTTAAGGATAGATTGGCAATACATGATCTATTCATGACTGCCTATGCTTGTGCTGTTTAGCATCGCCATTGTTTGTGATTCCTATGCCTTCCTATAGCATAATGAACCAATACACCCTAGAAAGTTTCCAACCACATCAGTTTTGTTGTGTTGTTACATGTCACATTAGTTTTGCAGTCAGTTCCCCCAATTCTGTCTAATCTGTGCTCCTCTAATCTCTTTTTGGATAACTTATATGAAGTAGGAGTGCCAACATAAAGATAATATTGGGGTACTTAAGAACTTCAAATTGAAATTAAAGTTATGAGAGCTGTCTGTCAAAACTATGGCCTTCTTCAGGTGGTACGTAATAGTACTCAGTACTAGTTTTGTTAAGCATCACTGTCTGCCAGGGCTAATATAGTAGACCTGTATGGCTTTTGGGGAACCCTCAGTTTGACATGACTGCTGTTTTTGTCATCATCATCATCAGGTGCTTTACCGACTTGCATTTGCAGTGAGGATTTTTGTCGTGGTATGGGACGTCGCAGGTCGACCCAGCCTAAAATGGGTACCAGGATGGGCTGTCCTGGGAAAGTAAAGACAGCCGGCGTGATGCTGACCACATTACCCACAGAGTGCTGATGGTCTGTAAAAATATGGGACGCTCTGCCTATATGCCCGATGCGCCGAAAGGCGTGGAAAAGGAACTTTACTTTACTTTACTTATGGTCGATTATGCCTCACCACAATCTGCGATCTCCTGCAGCATGCATCAGTTCATGTGCTGACACACCTCCATGCCTTGCTACGAGATTCAAGAATCATCTCTCGTTGTCTTCCTCTACCCCTAATTCCACAGATCTTCCATTGGTCAAAACATGTTCCATTTTGCCTCTTCTCATAACATGGCCCAAAAATTATGTCTCCTTCTGATGTCTGTGATAAGTTGTCTTCGGGCTCCCACTTCTTTCAAAACCTTTTGGTTATTCTTTTTTTGGCTGTCCAATGTATGTTGAGTACTATTCTGTAAACACCCATCTCTGAGGCCTCAAGAAATTGTTTGGCCTGCCTACTAATCGTCCAGGACTCACAGCCATATGTCAAAACTGGATGTATGCAGCAAGCAGGAATTCTTTTTCTAACCTTCAATTTCAGATATATAGCATAAGATGTTCTTCTGTTTTATGTTTGTGACAATCAGCACAGTGATAATATAAAATGTTTAATGTATATATATATATATATATATATATAAATATAAAATGATTAATTTCAATTTGTAATTTAATTTTAATGCCTAAAATACTTTGGACAGCCAGAAAGGGCAACCAAGAGGTTTTGAAAGAGACGGGAGCTTGAAGACAACTTATCACAGACATCAGCAGGAGACAGTCATCATTTTTTTCAGCCATATAATGAGAAAAGGGAAAATGGAGCATGTTGTGATCGCTGGAAAGATCTGTGGAAGAAAGGGATAGAGGAATACAAACAGAGAAGATTCTTGACACTCTTGTTGCATGGCATGGATGTGTGTCAGCACACGAACTGATACATGCTGCGGAAGATTGTGGAAAGGCATTATCGCCCACGCCAGTCGGCAAGGCACCTGCTGATGATGGTATTTTGTTGTTGCTATTCAGCACCTAATAATAATAATAATTATTGTGCAAATATAAAAAAAAAATTAAACACCCCTAAGTGTCTGTCACCCCACGCCACTCCCATAATTGTCTAGAGGCGGGAGTACTTGAGTGGATTTGAGCTTTGTTTAATTCATAATCCTGTTGTGCCATTATGTGTCACATAGGGATCGCAGCCTATTCGTCCACTCCGTTCTGTCTTGTGCAATCAGTTCCGTATTATGGATGGAATCGTCCAGCAGCCTTGATCCGTCTCAACATTCGTCTTAGGGTTTCCTTTTTTGCGCCTTTTTGGAAACGTGTTTAATTGTCCAGAAATAATAATAAGTGTAAAAGGGGGTGTAGGCAGCCGATGTTTTCGGCCTGCCTGACGGGATCCAGACTTTGGCCTAATGGACAGGCCTCACACATCAGGTCCATTGAGTCTCATCTACAGTTAAACAAAAAGGTAAAGGACCCTTTTCCACGCCTTTAGACACAGAGGAATAGACCTATATTTTTATAGACCAATCGGCACAAGATGGGTGATGTGGTCTGTATCACGCCGGCCGCCAGTTACTTCCCGGGAATGTTGAAGGTTGAATTAAGAATCGACATTACAGCACTCGGGACACTCCTATAAGCGCTCCGTCCCCATCTTCAGCAGCAAGCGAAGAGTTAAAATTCCGATGGTAACAGTCTGATTGTATATCCGTCTCGCCCCTCCCCCGAGTGTCGAACATCGGCCAGATCCCCTTGTAACTCCTCGCAGTGCCATTCTCCTCAGACCGTAATGATCTATATGTTCCTCGGCACTGTTCAATCGCTCCCAAAGGGCCCTCAGAACATCCAGCTTGTCATATATCATTTCACCACCAAGTAGTGCAGAAGTGGCCAGTCTATCCGCCTGCTCATTTCCCAACCCACCGGCGTGACCTGGAGAAAATATCCAAAGGATGCTAACTACCAGGGATCCCTGAAGAGATGCTTGCCACTCTGCACGGAGCATGCCTGTCACCACCTTTCTCAGCATGCTCTGTGAGTCAGTTACAATGACGACATGTGTGTACAGTTGATTCTTAAGCCAACGGAAGGCAGCAGTAACTGCCCCCACCTCTATTCTCAAACTAAACGTTGTGATATCATATGTCAGGGTTTGAGGCGCCAAGCGACGTCCATTCGCCTTGGCTATGAACCCCCATGCACTTCGTCTGCCACTCACCACAGAGCCATCTGTATATACAATCACGTCACTTAGGCGGGAATTCTCATGACTCATTTGTTGAACTTCTGATTCTGCAGCACCAGCTGGCCAGTCTCTACACTCACGTCCCAAAGTGATTAGAACCCTACACAAGTCTGAAACATGATCGGACACTTTGACCCACTGCTCTGCTTACCTAAGTTTATCAAGC